GTCGGAAAGACAGTTTTCCGAGCGTTAAAAAAACAGTGAACCAAATTTCAATCCGACCATTAGTTATCGAGATATACGCGTTTGAAGTTCGCGTACGGGCCACCGTTGCCGTATATCTAGACGACACCTGGTATACACCATGTATACGTATCTCTGCGAACAACAGACATTTGAAAGAAAATAGGCCCGGACGATGACTAGAGCATTTCTAAAACAACGTTTCCCTTCGTCCAACTAACGATTGCGGAATGTAGAACGACACGTACGCTGCTCGAATCTACGTCGAAAGCTCTATATGGACGTCTGGAAGGCCTCTTTTTTGAAGGACTATTTTTTGACCTCGACGGATCCGCGAAGCACGAGCCAGGCATTCTCCCCAACTACCTCCCTAGATTCCCCGAGCTTTAATCGACCATTATAGGCCCTCAGAGCGTCCGTAGAGCCATTTCCCTCTATACGCGTATGGCCAAATCCTATTATTAGACTCCAGATTGAAAATCTGGAGTCTATTGTTTTTGCCTGTTTTCTTTATTAGACTCCAGATGAAAATCTGGAGTCTATTGCTTTTGCCAGTTTTCTTTATTATTATTAGACTCCAGATTGAAAATCTGGAGTCTATTGTTTTTGCCTGTTTTCTTATTATTATTAGACTCCAGATGAAAATCTGGAGTCTATTGCTTTCGTCAGTTTTCTTTATTATTATTCTTTCAGAATCTTCCTCCTTCCCAGATTTCTCACCAACTAGAAGAGCTTACTTTAAGCTGCTTACATGATTAACTAGGGAATGTATCTGGGATGATGGGAAATTAGGTCAAATTTTTATCTAGGTCAAAGGTTAAGAACTAGGTCAAATCCAGTACTTTGTCACTTTTTCCCATTATCTCGGTCGTCCTTCAATATTTTTGATCCTGGTTTTTTTCATTGTGTTCCCCATTAAAAAGTAGAAAACCTAGGGTCGATTTAGTTTTTTGGTATCTCAAACCGATTTCGAGATATCAGTGTCCGAAAACGAGGTCCAAAATAAATTTCACCGAATCCAATGTCCAGGATATCAGTCTTATAGGAAATTTTCTCAGGATTCCGAATCTGAAAACCAAATTTCGATCTGACTTCCGGTTCAGAAGTTATAGCGTTTTGAAAATTCAAAAATTGCTAAATTTGGTGCCCCATGTTAATTCAATGGGAAAAAATATTTTTTTTCGAAGTGTAAAATACAGGATATTGACTAAGTACAGCTTAACATAATGAATGCTTATAAAAGAAGGGGACCTCAAAAGCTACATAACTTCAAAATTTGGACACCAAAATGCCTAGGTCAAAATCAAGGTCAAATTCATAGTTTTTCCTTATTTTTACGATTCTGACACTACACTTTAATAATTTACTTCAAAATTTTGTATACAGGTAGCAAAGAGTGTGCTAATAGTGTTAGCCTTTTGCCGTCAGAAAGTATATTGACCCACTTTTGAGATATGGTGTCCGAAAAGTAGGTCAAAATAAAAAGTTCTTCAAATTTAACGTATGAGTTATGAATTAAGGGTAGAATTTTCTCAGGAATCCAAATCTGCAAACCAAATTTCAATCCGACTTTTGGTTTGGAATTTATGTCGTTTTGATAGCTCAAAAATCGCTTAATTTGGTGCCCCATGTTATGGCAATGGGAAAAAAGATTTTTTTGAAGTGTAAAATACAAGATATAGACTGAGTACAGCTTAATATAATGAAAGCCTATTTAAGAAGGGGATCTCGAAGGCTACTTAGCTCCAAAATTTGGACACCAAAATGCCTAGGTCAAAATCTAGGTCAAATTTATAGTTTTCCCTTATTTTTGCGATTCTGACACTATATTTAAATGATTTGCTTTAAAATTTTGTATACAGGTAGCAAAGAGTATGCTAATAGTGTTAACGTTTTGCCGTCAGAAAGTATTTTGACCCACTTTTGAGATATAGTGTGCAAAAAGTAGGCCAAAGTAAAAAGTTTTCCAAATTTAACGTATGAGTTATGAATTAAGGGTAGAATTTTCTCAGAAATCTAGATCTGCAAACCAAATTTCGATCCGACTACTTGTTCTGAAGTTATGGCGTTTTGAGATCTCAAAAATCGCTAAATTTGGTGCCCCATGTTAAATCAATGGGACCGAATAATTTTTTGAAGTGTAAAAATACGAGATAAAGAATGAGTACAGCTAAACATAATGAAAGCCCATAGAAGAAGGGGACCTCAAAAGCTACTTTCCTTCAAAGTTTGGACACCAAAATACCTAGTTCAAAATCTAGGTCAAAAGCATAGTTTTTTTTATTTAACGATTCTGACACTACACTTCAATGATATTCTCCAAAATTTTGTATACTTGTAGCAAAGATTGTGCTAATAATGTAACATTTTGCCGTCAATAAGTTTTTTGACCCACTTTTGAGATATGGTGTCCGAAATGTAGGTCAAAATAAAAAAAATCTCCAATTTTAAAGTATGAGTTATGAATTAGGGGTAGAATTTCCTCAGGAATCCGGATCTGAAATTAAAATTGCAATCCGACCCCCGGTTTAGATTCTACGCCATTTTGAAGTTTGAAATTCGCACTTGCCAGTATTCACGATGCAGATTGATTAAATATACTTTCAAAAATTCCTGCATACCCTACTTTACCTCTCTACCTACTCAGCTACTTATTTGACTACTTACTCAATTACTTAATTAGTTATTACTTACTTAGCAACTTACTCAGCTACTAACTCAGGTACTTACTCAGCTACTTACTCAGCTACCTACTCAGCTTTTTACTCAGTTACTTACTCAGCTACTTACTCAACTACTACTAAGGTACTTACTCAGCTAATTACTCAGTTACTTACTCAGCTCTTTACTGATCTATCTAGGTCAAATAAATCTGGAGTCTTAAATTGAACTTGTTCAATTTCACAAATCTAGTTCTTATTATTCTTTTTGAGTTTTTTCAATAACTATAAAGTATCCAGTAAAGACCATAATACAGTTCATTTAGGTTTAGTATCTAGTTGGTGGGAAATTGGGTCAAATTTTAATCTAGGTCAAAGGTCAAGAACTAGGTCAAATCCAGTACTTTGTCACTTTTTTCGATTTTCTCCGTCATCCTTCAATATTTTGGATCCGGGTTTTTTTCATTGTGTTCCTCATAAAAAAGGAGGAAAGCCAGGGTCGATTTAGTTTTTTGATATCTCGAACCGATTTCGAGATATCAGTGTCCGAAAACGAGGTCCGAAAAAAAGTTCTCCAAATTTAATGTCTAGGGTATTAGTCTAATAGGAAATTTTCTCAGGATTCCGAATCTGAAAACCGAATTGAAATCCGACTTCCGGTTCAGGAGTAATGACGTTTTGAAAGTTCGAGAAAAATCGACCTGATGATACCCTTATAGAATGTCAAGAAAAGTGAAAAAAATTGAAAAATACCAGTCCAGTCCATTTCCAGGTCCAAGTCAAGGTCCAGTCCAGGTCCAATTCCAGTGTTTGTCCAGGTCCAAGTCAAGTCTAGGTCTAAATCCAGTCCATGGCCTAGGTCAAAATCTAGGTCAAATTCAAAGTTTTTCCTTATTTTTGCGATTCTGACACTGCACTTATATTATATTCTTCGAAATTGTGTATACATGTAGCCAAGAATGTGTTTATAGTGCTAGCCTTTTGCCGTCAGAAAGTATTTTGACCCACTTTTGAGATATGGTGTCCGAAAAATAGGTCAAAATAAAAAGTTCTCCAAATTCAAGCCATGAGTTATGAATTAAGGATAGAATTTTCTCAGGAATCCGATTCTGCAAACCAAATTTCGATCGGACTTCCGGTTTGGAAGTTATGGCGTTTTGAAAGCTCAAAATCGCTAAGTTTGGTGCCCTATGTTAAGTCAATGGGAAAAAAAGACTTTTTCGAAGTGTAAAATACAAGATATAGACTGAGTATAGCTTAACATAATGAATGCTTATAAAAGAAGGGGACCTCAAAAGCTACATAGCTTCAAAATTTGGACACCAAAATGCCTAGGTCAAAATCTAGGTCAAATTCATAGTTTTTCATTATTTTTACGATTCTGACACTACACTTTAATAATTTACTTCAAAATTTTGTATACAGGTAACAAAGAGTGTGCTAATAGTGTTAGCCTTTTGCCGTCGGAAAGTATTTTGACCCACTTTTGAGATATGGTGTCCGAAAAGTAGGTCAAAATATAAAGTTCTCCAAATTTAACATATGAGCTATGAACGTAAGAGTTATGAATTAAGGGTAGAATTTCCCCAGGAATCCGAATCTGCAAACCAAATTTCGATTCGATTTCCGGTTCGATAGTTGTGGCATTTTGAAATTTCGGGAAAAATCGACCTGATGGTATCCTGATAAAGAGTCAAGAGTAGCGAAGAAAATATTGAAATATTCATCAATCCTTCCTATCTGATCCTATCCTATCCTTCCTATCTATCCTTCCTTCGTATCCTTTCCTTCCTATCCTTCCTATCCTATCCTCTCCTATCCTATCCTCTCCTATCACATCCTTTCTTCCTATTCTGTTCTATCCTATCCTTTCTTATTCTATCCTATCGTTCCTTCCCATTCTATCCTATCCTACCTTCCTATTTTATCCATCCATCTTATTCTGGATGACTCAGCTTATTCTGGATGACTGGGCTTATTTTAGATGACTGGGCTTAAAAAAAGTCTAGATCTGGAGTCTGAAATTGAACTTCGTTCAATTTCCAAAGTCTAGTTATGTATGTAAACTTTGTGTTTGGACATGAATTAAATCATTTATTTTTTTTACTCGAAATATTATTTGCAGTAGAGTATAGGCTAATGCATTGATTTTGAAATCCAGAATTATATTCCCACCAGAACCACTCTTTATCTCGAGAGAGTATTCCAAGGGATAGTGAAGGGTGTAGATCCCGCAATGATACTATGGCCTTAATATGTTAGAGCTATACCTTGCAGAAATAGATTATCATTTTGATGTAATTCACTGTGTTGATGTTTAAGTCGAGTGTTACCGTGATGGTAAGTATTATGAAAAGATTGCGAACTCGGACGAATGTTTCTATGTCAATGACGACAGAGCGGTCGAAGTGTGTTGTGATTTCGGACAGGTGTTTAACTTAACAGACTGTTGCTGTGAAGGAAATCTTCGAGGTATGTTGAATAGAGATGATTCTGAATGATACAAGTGCCACTCACAGTTTATCAAAGTTCAATAATTTTTTTTGATGGATGATCTATTTAAATAAAACATAATGGAATTGGAATTGGACTAATTTAACAAGTGGTGACATAGTCATCAGCTTTTTTGGACGGCGGTCGGGGTTGGGCGGTTGGTATTCGGCCGTCGTTGTCTGTGTAACTAATGGCAGGTAGTGACAATTTGCATCTTAATGCCTTGTACATTTTTGGAATGCCAACTAAAGTTACATGGACATTGTTGTTATAGTTCCACTTTGCGATTGTGTCCTCGATGTACAATTTGTATGGGAACCAGCTTTCGTTGTGTTCAGAAGTCATGAAGTCCGTGATGCGATACAAGGCCTATATCTAAACTACAGTGGGATAACAGTACCTTCAGTGTTTGAAGACACGCAAAGAGGGTGTTTCAGCGGAGACAAGAGCTTCATCAAGATACCCCATCTGATCAATTTCAACTATGGCCCGACCTTCTCCATATCCGTGGCCTTCGAGATCGACCAGGAGTACACGAATGACGCCGGTGATGTTGTCATAGATACAAAAATGGGAGTTTTATCAAATGGATGTTGCGATAAGGACGGTACCATTGAAGTTTGGTTGGAAGAGAATAGGGGCTACATTACGTTCATCACAGAGGACGAGGAGCTGAGGAACTATGAATTCACATCCACGGTATGAGTATCTATAATATATTAACATATGAGATTACTAAAATGAATAACATGACAAGGGGAACATGGGTTACGTAGAGTACTGGAGTAAGATATTCTCAAATTGACCTGTAACTCTCTGGTTTATTCCTTGTAGTTAAACAAAAATGGTGGAGGCCTTCTTCCAATCATGGACGCTCCATTATTCAAAATATGTCCAGCTTTTTCGATTTCTCAAGTAATTTGTTGTGCACGTGAATAAGTTACAAAAAGTCTATACAAGATCAAAAATGGTTCCTGCTACTGTCCAGCATTTTGAGATGTTTTCAGACAGAGACTCTGGTGACAGATCCAAAGCTACTGACCCTCACAATAGTGTACTGCGACCCCTATCTGACTGTGACATACAATGGGATAGTCCACGATGACATCACGCTAGGAGGTATGTATACTGCGACCCCTATCTGACTGTGACATACAATGGGATAGTCCACGATGACATCACATTAGGAGGTATGTATACTGCGACCCCTATCTGAATGTGACATTCAATGGGATACAGTAGTCCACGATGACATCACACTAGGAGGTATGTATACTGCGACCCCTATCTGACTGTGACATACAATGGGATAGTCCACGATGACATCAGACTAGGAGGTATGTATACTGCGACCCCTATCTGACTGTGACATACAATGGGATACAGTAGTCAACGATGACATCACACTAGGAGGTATGTATACTGCGACCCCTATCTGACTGTGACATACAATGGGATACAGTAGTCCACGATGACATCACACTAGGAGGTATGTATACTGCGACCCCTATCTGACTGTGACATAAAATGGGATAGTCCATGATGACATCAGGCTAGGAGGTATGTATAATGCGACTCCTATCTGACTGATACGATGGGAAAGTCCACAATGACATTACACTAGGAGGTAAATGTACTGCGCCCCTATCTGATTATCACGTCAAATAAATCGGCCCACGATGTCACCACACTGAGAAGTATACAGCGCCCCCTATCTGGCTATCATGTACAACACTATGTCATCTCACTGAATTAAGATTCACTTTTAACTATGTAATTATTTCACATCATAATTCATCTCTCATATTTCAATGTTATATACAGATGCAGTGAAGTCCACAAAATGTCATCACTGAGATTTCATTGCATTATATACAGGGCCAGTCAAGTCACCAGTGTCATTTCTCATATTTCAATGTTTCATACAGGCGCAGTCAAATCCCCAAAGTGTCATTATTCATATTTCAATGTTAAATACAGGTGCAGTGAAGTCCACAAAGTGTCCTCTGACGTTTGGTGATCTGAATGACATTGACGAGAGCGAATTTAAAGGCTGTATGAAAAACGTAAGTAAACACCTAAATGCAACATAGGATAGTAATATCGTAGCTTTATATCTTTAAGGAGTTGGCTATTGCCAAACATCGGCTTTACGTCCATGCTTAGAAGTTTACAGATCCGCAATTTTTTCTGAACAATCTTGACTGAGCATTTCCAAATAATCTACAGGCGAATAACAATCGCGAACAGTCTTATTTTTGACTGAGGATATTGTTAGACCACACACTCCTCGTTTTACATTAGAACAATAGGTCATCTTCAACTTTAGCACAAAAGATAATAAAACTGTCAGTTGGATTTAACCGATTGATAATGGGTTAGTAGCCCATCTCAGTTTTTTAAAAGATGTTTTCCTCATTTAAAACAGAACTCGTTTTCTCAAAATTGTTCGCGATCCTTTGCCTCAAAAACTTACTATTCTTACACTAATATAATGCGCCATTTTGTTCAAACAAAAGTAGATGGTTTTGAAGAGATATGTATGAAATTTGAAGACAGTTGAAAAACAATTTCTTTTTCAGATACTTGTGTGCAGAAACTGTTGGTCGGCAGAACAGCAAGACAGGCTTCATTCACCCGGGTTGGACAGCCGGGGTGCTCTTGGAGCAATAGACTGTTATTAGCCATAAATGGAATTATAAAGGAATATTTATAGGAAACAAACAAATATATGTATATGTTATAATGAATATTTATCATTTAATATAAATATATACAAACATGTTGGCATCTGGGCATCTCATGAATTGACTGTGACACTCTCTTGCGTATGAAGTCGCTTCGTTTGCGACATGTGAATGAACGTTGAATTCTCCTTCATAGCAAATGAAATCAGTAGCCCCATAATGTGGATGGTGCTATATTTGAAAGCACCATAATGTGGATGGTGCGGCGTTAGTCTGAAAGCGCCATAATGTGGATGGTGCTTAGGTCTGTAAGCCCCATAATGTGGATGGTGCTTGGTTCGGAATGCACCATAATGTGAATGGTGCTAGTCTGGGAGCGCCATAATGTGGATGGTGCTCGAGTCTGAAAGCGCCATAATGTGGATGGTGCTTGAGCGATTGCGCCATAATGTGGATGGCACAACTGTTTGAAGCGCCATAATGTGGATGGTGCTCGAACAGTTAGATTCCATAATGTAATGGAATTGACGATTGCCATGAAGGAGATACGAAAAGTATGTGATTGAATAAGAATGCAATGAACATATGAATTTGAACCTTGGGAATGGAACGAACGCAAGTAAGTGACACAGCCAAGTCTTGTAGACGCCTATAACGTTAGTGTACAATTACAAATAATTATATCTTTAAGACTTTAAGATATCTTAAGATTGTTCATTTATGAGAAAGGAGGTGGTTGGGGAGGTTGGTGGATAGCTATGGATAAATTGATGTTCGCTGGTCGCTAGGTTCAATCGAATAGAACGACTGTATCGTGTGTGCAACGGATAGAGTCACGTTCATCCATCCGAATGATTGACGTGAAGGCGGGGCATGAGAATCAGTATGAATATTTTTCAAGCTTCCTATAAACGATGCTTAACAATATTAAGCAACCATTTATAGGAAACAAACAAATATATGTATATGTTATAATGAATATTTATCATTTAATATAAATATATACAAACATGTTGGCATCTGGGCATCTCATGAATTGACTGTGACACTCTCTTGCGTATGAAGTCGCTTCGTTTGCGACATGTGAATGAACGTTGAATTCTCCTTCATAGCAAATGAAATCAGTAGCCCCATAATGTGGATGGTGCTATATTTGAAAGCACCATAATGTGGATGGTGCGGCGTTAGTCTGAAAGCGCCATAATGTGGATGGTGCTTAGGTCTGTAAGCCCCATAATGTGGATGGTGCTTGGTTCGGAATGCACCATAATGTGAATGGTGCTAGTCTGGGAGCGCCATAATGTGGATGGTGCTCGAGTCTGAAAGCGCCATAATGTGGATGGTGCTTGAGCGATTGCGCCATAATGTGGATGGCACAACTGTTTGAAGCGCCATAATGTGGATGGTGCTCGAACAGTTAGATTCCATAATGTAATGGAATTGACGATTGCCATGAAGGAGATACGAAAAGTATGTGATTGAATAAGAATGCAATGAACATATGAATTTGAACCTTGGGAATGGAACGAACGCAAGTAAGTGACACAGCCAAATCATGGTAGCATGGGTGCTACTATGAGAAACCCCAAGGTAAAGATAATATGTTTATGTATAGTAGCAAGTGTAGGATATGATGTGATAACCACTAATTATAATATGATTATTCATCAAATTCGAACACATTTCCTCAAAAGCAGCACGATAAGTAACGAACCGTTGTATGATGATTGACATGCTAATAGTTCGTGGTGCTTTTGAATGGACGATTTAAATCGCTCTGACGTCGGATATATAGATACATAGTAAATACACAGATAAATGATAACTATTCCTGAGCAGTTTATGGAAATACGCCGATAACAATCAGGTGTGTGGTGAAGCCATGGCCCGTTGGCCATCTTTAAGAAGTTGATCATTGGGGCGTATATATCGCCTGAATGAGTCTGATTTCCACCTGCCAAGTGTCATAATTAAACTATCTCCCAGGTGAGAATAAGCTGCACTTGATGCGGCGCCTATACGAAATGAATGTCCACTGAAGTGAGCCGGATCTAAGCCAATGTTATGTAAATGTTGTTTCATTGTACCGATAAAGCTGTCACGGCTTAATGTTGTGCCCTCCAGTGTGAGGAACAGAGGTCCCGATGGGTTTGAAGAATGTTGTTTTTGCCTTACGTCGAGGTATAATTGCATAGCTTTAACCGCACATGTCACGGAATCCGGATTTGAATAAATGGGTATCGTGACGCCGTCGCCCGTACGATCGGTTTTAGATGACTTCAGGTGATATGTGAAATAGCCTTGGTACATTTTAATGTCCTGTAATAACACGACGTTTTGCCCTGGTTGCGTTGTAAATTCTCCACATCTCAGAAATCCAAAGAAAGCCAATGTATAGACTGCCGTAAACATAATATTTTCGTACGGATCAATGCGTTTCGTGACCAAGAATCTGCATAAAGTAGCGAGAATTTCATGAGTTATTGGGCGTCTTAGAGATTGTTTGTTATCCTGAAGCTTGAGTATCGTATTTAGGATCGTAGAAATCCGCGGCATGAGTGTCCCGTCAGCAAGATGGAAGGGGTTATTTATCCCAATACGCATGAACACGTATCTCAGTCCTGATAGGTACAGTCGTATTGTTGAGTGCTTCAATCCCTTAAGATGACAATAAGATATGAAGCGCAGAACAATTGCTTCTGATATTGGAGGAATATTGTTGTGTGTGAATTCAACACCGTTAACCTTGAGGAATCCTAGATACGATTTATATCCCTCGTTATACACCTGTTTAGTTTTATGGCTGAGCGATAAGTCCCATAAATGATCCAAATGCGCGTCGATAACACTCACTGCCAGATTACTTGCAGTGGGTTTGGACAGGGGCATGGTGCGGCGTCTGCCCATGGTACCAGCTCCTTGAAGCGATCTATCTGCAAACGACTTAGACTGTCGGCGATATTGTTCGAATTGCCTTTAACGTGGCGAGCGTGAAAATGAAAATTACTTTCACAGGCTCGCCACGTAAGGTTGCGCATCAATTTCATGATAGGCAACACCTTGGACCGTCCTTTATTTATTATTGATACTGTTGCTTCATTGTCACACATGAACACGATGCTTTTCCGAGACCAAAGACTCCCCCAGATGATGGCGGCCACGACAATGGGATATAGTTCTAAGAACGCAATGGAAAGATCATGGCACTCGATTGAAGGGAGTGTTTCGGGCCAAGGTTCGTAGAAATATGCCCCATTGTAGAAGCCGCCATGACCAAGGGAAGCTGCTGCGTCAGTATATAGGTGCATTTCATTTGATAATATTGGAACTTGTTCATAAAATAAATTCACTCCGTTCCAGTTCGTCAAAAATGTTTGCCACATTGTGAGATCCTCTCGACAATGCTTGTCGAGATATACGTGTTTAAATGGCGTGTCTACGGATGATGCAAGTTTATACAGATAAGATACAAAACTCCGTCCGGGCCTAATAACTCTCGAGGCGAATTGTAGGTGCCCGAGAAGTTGTAAGAGTTGTATTTTAGTACACGTTTTTTGCTTCGAAATAGTATTGATGAACGTTGAGATACGTTCTAATTTCTCGACCGGTAGCCTAGCTTCCATGTTACGTGAGTCTAATATAATCCCTAGATATTCGAGGCATGTAGTTGGTCCTACAACCTTATGCGGGGAAAGAGGGATATTTAACTTGTTAAACAACATGGTCATAATCGCCATGGTTCTGTGACCCTCTTCCCAACTTGACGTATTGATTGCCAGGTGATCATCCAATAAATGGATCAAGAAGTCGACATCGTATTTATTCTTGCCAATCCATTCAACGGCTTGGGAAAGGGTATCATAGATCTTAGGGGAAGATCTACATCCGAAACTAAGCCGATGTGATACGTAATATTTATCCTTCCATTTGATGCAGAACCAATGCCATTGTTCAGGTTTGACGGGAATAATTTTAAAAGCGTCTTTTACGTCCCATTTCGATAGTAACGCATTCCGCCCTTTAGATAAAATGCCTTTAATAGCAGTATCCAGAGTTACGTATTGCAGGCTGCATTTTTCCTTATCAATAAAATCGTTGATACTATAGTCCTGATCGTTATGGGGAGATGACAAGTCTATTATCATGCGTTTCTTTTTAGAGTATTTGCTTTCTGCTATTCCAATAGGGCTAACTCGAAAGTGCGCAAAAGGTGGTGTTACGAATGGGCCTAGTAAATATCCCTTAGATAATTCTGTATTCAGCAATTCTTCGACGATCTCTGGTTGCCGACGCGCTGATAATAAATTGTTACAGATTCTGTTGGGGATAGAGATGCCTTCAGGTTGTTCTACTAGGGTGTCGAATCCATATTCGAGGCCGTTGCATAAGTAATTAACGAAATTCGCGTCGGGGTGGTGAATTAAATCCATTCGCAATTGAGGAATATTGATGGGGGTTGAAGCGTTCATGATGTCGGGAATCAGTCAATTTTTATTCTTTCCCTCGTTTTTCCTAGATGAACGAGAGGACGGGGAGATTTTCCTGCCTTCGGAATCTACGCGGACGTGAAGCCTGTAACAATCATCGTAATGACAGCCGCCTTCCGGGTTGAAGTTGTTGCAAACAGGTCTAGATCTTCCGCGTTCGTCTTCGGAGTATATCACTTTTCTGCCTTGTCTATCTGTGTTTTGTTTACCCCGTTTTGCCTCGGATTGTGATGTTTTTCCATTATCGACATCAACGTGCTTTGAGTTGAGGACGAGCTGTAATAGGCGAGTGTCCACTTGTCCCCAGTCAACTTTGATTTGATGATTGATCCAAGCGGCGCACGCTCTTCCTGTGAATAACTTGTGGTATTCGTAGAATACGGCACCGTTTGTGTTGTGAATATCCAGAATATTGTACATGTATTGGCTAAGTTCATCGGCGCGGGAGGGGTAAGCGGCTAACATTATTCGCTTATACTTTTCGAAGGCCGTGATGAATTCTGCAATGGTGAGATGGCGCTTTAGTTTTGGGTCGTTATCCATATTAACAGCCTTGAGCGTCAGTTTTCCGTCGGCCTCTGTATCCAGGGACGGGGCTTTTGATATCTCATAATACGGTATTAACAGACAAGCCATGTTGATGTACTTTCCCGCGAGAATGGCCCGTTTTACACTCGGAGAAATTACATCAATCATCGGGATATCATTTGGATGGATACCTTTCTCGCCAAGTCCTCGTACGATTGTACTAGAAGATGCGTCCCAAGGCTCCAGGTTTCTCTCCGCCGATGACGAGGGTGTGGGCACCGGCGGGTCTGATGGTCCTGACGGGGCCTCTAGCTTGTCAACGAGAATGTTGACTGCCTTGGTTAGAGTCTCTACCGATTCCTTGAGATTACTATTAGTTGCCTCATTAGAGCTATCTGACGGCGTTTTCGCATACGGCTTCTCCACACTTTTCTTCTTTGTTTGTTTTTGATTTTTAGATTTTCCTCTAGTTGAAGGCATTGTTGAAATAATATTTTGGTTGATATAATAGCTATGGATAAATTGATGTTCGCTGGTCGCTAGGTTCAATCGAATAGAACGACTGTATCGTGTGTGCAACGGATAGAGTCACGTTCATCCATCCGAATGATTGACGTGAAGGCGGGGCATGAGAATCAGTATGAATATTTTTCAAGCTTCCTATAAACGATGCTTAACAATATTAAGCAACCAAATAATTCGAAGTGATATGCATATTTGCAAATGTTAAACTATACAGTTGTTGTTGTTAAATCATGTATTATTAGATGAGATAAATGTCAAGTGAATAATAAGACCGTAGCTACATAGAACGTCATTCACTAGTAGAATAGTTTACTTATTCCATTTCAAATAATTATTGATGATGGGTGAATTGAATATTTATTTTAAAATATGAAATATACAGTACATCAAAAACACCCTTCAAAAAGCATCCATGGTCTATAATGGACAATCGTCTGGACATATTTACATTGGCTAATGGCTACTGCCTTATGATTAAAGCTACTCGGTCACCAAGTACCTGTAAAATTGTCACACTCAAGATATAGTAATATATGCAATTTTCAACTAATTTTGAATTAATTATAATAATATATGCAGTTGGTCTCATTATTTGGAAATGTTTCAACGGCTTTATTCGGGTGGACCATATTATATTGAAAATATTGTATTCTGTTCAATAGATTCAGCTTCATTCTGTTGTTCAAGTTCAGTCAGTTCAACTCTTGGGATGAATTTAATTGCCTAATAAAGAATAAAATCTTAAATTTTGAGCCTGAAAAATTCAAATTTCTCCAGTGTCATCATCATCGTAATTATACTGATACTGAAAATGACATACATCTATAGACTGTGTCTTTTACTTCGCTCATTGCTCCTAGAGTATTCGCACCTTCACATACACCTGAGACTAACATAAAATTGTTGATGATGGTCTCAGCATATACTGTACATACGAAACAGTGGAAGATGCCAATTTGTGAATTATGATAAAGAATACAATAAAATTATTTATATTGCCTTTATTTACAATACAAATGTACATATATTTAATCATCATATTCATAAATAAATAAATGTTCAAAATTTACGATCTACTATACTAAGCACTGGATGGACGCATTTTAAAATACTAGAATAGTAATATAATTTATTTGAGTATAAACTGTAATAATGTCTGTTGTGCAGATTCTTGAAAAAAATAGTTTGTATATCAGTATCTAGTATAGCAGATAGATCTCAAGACAGATATACCACAGCTAACCTGCATCAATGCATTTCAACACTAAAATTATGTAATACCAGTGTAAACAAAATACACTGTACTAAAATTGTAGTGCTATAGTAACACTGCAAATATTGTAGTGCTAGTAACACTATATTATTGTAGTGCTCTTTACAATGTGCTATTGCTGTGCTTCATCCATTTCTTGTTGAATTGCAGCCAATGCAGCGTAACACTCTACTGTTAATCTCAATGATCCTATCACATCATCACCTTCAGCGTCATACACTGGAAAAATTAAACAAAATGTCTCTTATATTCAGGCGCCTGTTTCTTAAAATCATCGTCAATTATGATTCCAAGATTCAATTGTCTTTTTCGATAATTCCAGTCACTAGAATATCTAGGACAAACATTATAAGGTGTTAATCTCTATTATATAAAGTCATGAATTGCCATTAGCCTGACAAAAAAAAAATTAAAATACTACATTTATCGTTAGAAAATAGTAATAGTATGTTCATTTATTTTACTGGAGACTGTTCAGATCCTCCCTTCTTGATTAAAAAATGGGGCTCACTTAAGCACACGCTTTGCTCGTCACGACATTTTTATTAGTAAACTTACATGGTACATCTTGATCAACAATATCATGCCCAGGTTTGAGAATATCATCTAGAAAGCTGACATAAGCAACACCTATGTCCTGACAGTCAGCGTTGGAATCTTCTTCTTCGTTTTCTGGAGGTTCAGATACAACAGTGAACCTTACCCTGCAGGGAAACACACATGTTACATTCAAAGCAGTATAACATATCACCCAGGGAAACCAACTCTATATTAAAATAACGTGTTACATCCAAGGCCATATTATATCACCCGGTGAACTTTTCCATACAGTAAACTAGAAAACAACTCATTGGAGTAGCAAATCCCAACGAACAAACTGTTCATAAATCTTAATGTGAAACAAAACAAAATTGTTCTGTTTATTTATGACACCTGGTGCATTTGTTCAAGTCTCCCTTTAATCTTAGAAGAGATGCTACAATATCAGGGAATTTGATAGTGTGTGTAGTGTGTTGTACTGTACATATGACTCCATGTGCAATTTTGGCCATCAATGTATAACGAGTTAAATTATGTGTACATACAATCGGGGCCCAAGGAGGGGGTCAGGTCCAAGCCTTTTCAAAATAAGTTCTTGTTTCCTGGTCTTAAGAGAAGTGGGTAAAATATCCACCACTGAGCATACATTGAAATCAAAATTACATAGAATATATTTTAAAAATCTACTAACTTTCCTTCATTAGGGTCATCGGGTAGAAGCATGCTGGCTAGGTACTGTCTTACTTCAAAGTTCTCCTCGTAGTCAACATGGAACACTGCAAAAACAAATACATCATCAGTCACCAAGGTTACACACAGGCTTGCTATTCTACAGTCATGCACTCTTCATGTTAAAACAATTTTTAAGAATAATACAAAACATATTTTCAGACCAGCGAAAAAGATATACTGTACGCCCGGTATTATTCGCGTGCGATTAACTTTCGCGCTTTTCGCGAGGGTGTTAAAATCGCGAAAAATTATCGTCGCGAAATTGCCAATTAAATCCCCGGGAATTTGTTTTTACCCTGGGCTCTGATGCATTTCGTTTTGTCTACTAGTTTGGATCGAGTTATAGTACTTAAATAGTACTGTGCAACTCCATGACTTTAAAATGCGCATGTGCGGCAATGAAAGAGCATGTGCGCACGATTGTTAACGTGATCGTAGCCTGCAATTTGATTGGACATCATATACTGGGGAATCCCCGAATACAATAAAATACAGTATTCGCGAAATTTGATAGCTGCGAAACCGTGTTTTCGCAAAATTCGCGAAATTAAAGCTCGCGAATAATACCGGGCGTACAGTAGCCTAATTTTGATTGTTTTTTGTTGATATTGGTGTATTGTCTAGTTTTATTATTTTTTTAAAATGAATAGATGGATGAACAGTTTTCTAGATATTTTGATGATAATATTTCTCAAGGTGCCCTCCTGCTCGCCTGCCCACCTATGAACACAAGACAAAAACAATGTAGCACTTCATAAGCATGATAAAATATTACCTTTCCTGAAATTGTAAGATGCTTCTCTGTTTGGTTTTGGTTTAGGTAAAGATACAGTTTCTAGTTCTTCAGGGGGATACTGTAGAAACCTGTATTCCACAAACAGCATTTGAACACTAGGGTCTGACATCACTGGGGAATCTTCATCTAGGCTCACACTTGAGATTGTGATTATAACAACATTCGGGTTCTACAAATAACAGACAAGTCTTGATAAAATCAGTTTATTGACTTTTTAGCAATTTTGGTAATTTTATTCAATAACTAATAATAAATGACTAATGTTAAGTTTTATGACTAATGACAGTTTCATTGGTTATTGTTTAATGTATACCATAGTCTTAACCCTATTAGTACTCTACAGTCCTTTTTGCTTGGTTGATGTTTAAAAACTGTATTTCAGTAAAAACATTTTGTATAAAAAAAATTGGGTTCCTAGTTCCAAGGACAGTATTTACCCCAGCCTGTGAGACTGGCCTGGGGGGTGCAGGGGAGACTACTACCCCCTCGCTGTCAGACTCTCTCTCCAATGTCTCCCCATATGTATCAGCTAGACTATCCTGGGGGAGGTCTACCTCATCTCCAAGTGACGAATCTGAAACAGGAATACAATATTCCCCTAACAATATGTGATATTCCTGTATGTCTAGAAATCCAAATGATGAGGTGCACTCATTGATAAGAAAAACTGTACATAATGAGGAATTATAATAATAACAATTCACTCTCACGTGTCAGATCTTCTTTGAAATACATTTCAAATACATGTCTTTACCATGCCATCCTGATGTCATTATTATATCATTACGATGTTATTTTTATATTCATTTTAGCATTAAGAGGCCACTCTGAAGAAGCTTATTCAATATTCAGCACTAAAAGTGAAACACATTCAACAATTACAGTATAAGAATCTATATTTAGGAGAAGGAATACCATTATATACATTGACCTACCCTCATCATCATCATCACCTTGGTCACCAAACATTGTATCTGATTGTCCTGTTGCCATGGCTCCTGTTGCTACAACAATGTCATCATCACTGTCTTCTTCATCTTCCTCCTCGGGAGGTTGGGCAGCTTCTAAATAATAATGAAGGTGTAATATGTTAAAGGTGTATTACGTTATACATTTTGACTTCATTTTTTGAATCACACACTGATCTGTGATGGTATGCAGTGCATCAGTTATGTAGCAATATATAGACTTTTGGCATAGTCTCTACTAAAAATATTTCTTACCTTGTGAATTTCCTTTTTATATTTACAAATCTACTCAGAAATTTGATATGTGACTCAATAAAACATTGAGATCTCTATTAACACTATCTATTAATTATTTAGATTTAGATTTTCCAATAGCCTAGAATACTTCAATTCAAAAATGAATCAAACCTTTAGACTTTTTCTTGTCCTTCTTGTCTTTCTTACTGTCTTCTTTCCCTGTAAGAAGAGATAGTTGATAAATTATATGTGAGTGTTTTGTACACACACAATTTATTACAATCCTATTACAGCAAGACAGTGATGTTCAAAATTCTACATAACTTGGATATAATGAACTTGTTGGCTTTCACTGTTATCATTCTTATTGTTATATCTAGAGTAATCATGGTAAAATGTTTAATCTAATTTGAATTAATTAATTCCTACTAAAAATAAACTACCTGTAGAATGATTTTAGTGATAATTACAAACGAGGCAGTTACATGCAAAATGTCACCACCTGACATTAATATTACAGATGCGGAGCCTCAAACACCAACCGCTGCCAAGAATGTTGGAGACTTTAACAATATGTCACCACTTCTGGTGGCGACATAAAAACTACATTTCAATGGTGATCAACTTGGAATGTGAAACTAGGTGTAGACCACACAAGGTCAAGGTCACGATCAAGACAAGGCCATGTGTAAAATCCATACATGATTAGAATAAGCAAATATCAGATTGTGAACTGGCTAGTATAAAAATAAATCACAATTAATTAATATTTAGTTAGTTACATACTTTATTGTCAAACTATGATACATAAATTATACATCAACTGACACTTGGATGACAGTGACAGGATTACTTTGATGACAGTTTAAAATTTAAGATATTACAATGCATGTACTGAATACATATGTGTCAAGAACAATTCCACTACAAACAGAAACCAAACATGTTTTCATTAATTCAAGACAGCCACCTGCAGACCTGTAAAAAGTAAAGTTAATTGATTTAGTAGGCTACTTATTCACATTAGAAAAATCATCAAATCAAAAAACAAGAAACAAAACACAACTAAAGTTATAACTATGAAAACATAAACAGTGAAGACACTCCACACAAACACTGTGAGTTGGTGAAAATACCTTTGTTTTTACTAAACAAGCCTTTGAAGGTGAATTTTCCCTTTTTCTTTTTATCTGAATGAGAACTGTCCTGGGAGCCTTCCTGGGAAACATCATCCGCTTCATTTTCCCTTTTCTTGTTCTTCTCATCCTTTCCTTCTTTTTTCTTGCCTGAACCCTTTTCCTTTGCTTCTTTCTTGGAAGGGGATGGAGACCGCCCAAATAAAGACTTTTTCTCCTTCTTCCCTTTAGATTTTTCTTCAGCTGGTGGTGTTTTATCAGAATCAGCTTCCAAAGATTTTGATTCTTGTTTTGATTTTTTAGGGTTGATCCTCATTCCAGGATCAGTTGTCTCAAGTGTGTCATCTCCATCATCCAGTGTGTCATTTCCATCCCCCTGTGTGTCATCAAGCTCAGACACAGAGGACACTGTGAACGTTGTATCAGAGGCCTCGGTTAGACTAAGTGATGTTTTTGCGAGATCTCCCTCATCTTCTTCTAAGCCAAATTACATATACAAGTTAATTGGTTATTATGATACAGAGATATGATTTTTATCCACCTGTGAATACAAATATTTTCTCATCAGAAAATGACAAATTATTGATATCCATAAGTTGATAAAAATCATAAGAAAGAATAACTCTTTATTTTTTCAGATAAGTCTATGTACCTAAGTATATTGTAAACTCTATGTCTATATTATATGCTCTTTTTCTATGTTTCATACTCTATGTCTATTATGTCAAAACCTACATTCTAGTTAAAGCATCTGAAGTTTCTAGCATGTCTAATATTTAACATACTGCCCCAGTATATTGAGTTTAACTGAACCTAGGAAAGCAATCAGCTTCAAATCAACTTTGTATAGTCAATACCTTCTTCTTTGGTGGTTTTCTTTGATTCTTTATCAGATTTTGCATTCTGCTTTTTTAGGAGTGCCTTTCGCATCACTTCTTTTGCTTTTTTCACCTCCTGATCTGAAGAGCTCTCTTCTGTTTTATTGTTTTCTGTCCCTGAGCAAAGCAGATACAAAATAAGCCATGCATGGAAGCATATAATGTAATTGCAACACAATACATAAGATAAAAATATGTGTAAAAACTCAACCATACATTCTAACAAAAGAGCAAGAGCTAATTTTTGGAGTTATATCCCAAGAGAATGAACCATTTACATATTTGATATTTCACATTTATCATATTTAGAAGTTTTCGTCAATATATGTGATCAAAACAAAAATTCAAAATCTAGTGCTATTAAAACAGACATATGTATGAGAAAAGTTTCCCAAGAATCAAATCACTCTTCTATCAGCACCCAGTGTAAAAAGCTACAAAATAGTTTTCAAAAAGAGTGTAGGGCAAAGGCGATAGAAACGATGTTCTTAGAAAGATGGCAGTCCAGTCTATATATCTATCTTCCCTTTGAGATAACATATGGACTGCACTACTGTCATCTTTGTATCGGACTAAAACCTCTCCTGCTCTCTTGACATGAGGTGGACGTGCAATAATAAAATGATCATCCTTTCAATGCAAAAAAAATAACAGCTTAACATAAAAATAAATTAAAATAAGAAGCAATTAAGCAAAGATGATGAACACAGAACTAGCAACATATCATCAAATACATAGAAACACAGAGACCAAGTTAAACACTGAATCAATATCAGAAATAAATCACTTTTTCATACAAAGTAGTATGTATATGGTATATAACCTTCTGAAAATAATTTCTTTTGTATGTCATGTTTCTCTTCTAGGCTCTCTCTTAACTCTAAAATAAAACTTCATGAATTATCAATCAACAAATTAATTCATCAATGATCAAACGATCAATCTGTCAATCAATCAATCCCCACATCAAGCAACTATGAAATCATATAGCTTTACAGTAGCATAGTAATTAATCAAAGCATAGTAGCTGACAAATTAACAATTAACTGCAATTAAAGTTGCAGCAAAGATTTGAGAATACAAAATACTGGCAGTAGATTTTTGAAAAGCATGCCAATGTCTTCCTTCCAATCCTAATTTTTATTTTCTGAAAGTAATTTTGAGATATCTGATCAAAATTAACAAAAGTTTATTAAGGATTTAAGCAGAAGTAATGTCCAAATTTTTAAGAGTGAAGAGAATTTATTGCAAGATAACCAAAGCAAAAGATGACCCTTAAATGAAGCTAGTGTTTTAAGAGAATATTGTTAAACTGCAACAATGAAATTATAATCAAGTTGTCTCTAGTCTTTGCCATGTTTGTTCACGAAAGAAATTCATAGAATATTTGTTTCCAGAAGAAATTACATTACAAATATTAACATCCAGAATTGGCTGCATGACATTGATATTTTCATTTGTGATTTCATGTATTCATTTATATTATGTGTAAGAATCTACGCAGCATGTACATAGCTTTTAAGTAGCTACAGTTTAGTAATAATAAACATCTGTAAAGCAAGATATGTTAGTATCACGTCACTTCTTTGGGTACCTTCATCTACATTCTGATTCCTTGACGACAAATCCTCAGTTTTCATTGGTTCATCTTCTACTGTACTATCACTTAATTCTAAAATTTAAAAGGCATGCAATCGGTTATATTCATAACAATCTCTAATCATCTGATGTAACTGTCTTCCATATCAACAGCTATTGTTATAAAACATGCGTATATTCATAAAATTGTATGGTTTGTTGTACATTGTGATCACCTAGCAACCCTGGATTCATCACCATGCTGGTCTAGCTTTTTCACTTTAGTTTCTCTCCCATTTTCTAAAATTCTATACAATTTAGAGTGTAGACCCTCTTCTCTTAATTTCGCTCTTTCCATTTGTATTTCACTCTAAAATTTGAATGAAGCCTTTGATATTCCCGCATCTCCATATATTTCAACTTCATCATTCCAATCTAATTCATTCCTTGCTGATTCCACTCTTGCTTTGTGTGATAAAGCATGACTAACATGACATTCTATTTGTGGTATGGAGATTGAAGACTCCTTACCTCCATCATCATCATCTTCAATCATCTCTCCTACGCTTGAATCGGTGATAGTTATTGTGGGGGTCTCTGCATTTGCCATAGCAACCCCTCCAGCCACAGCTGCCACACCAACAGCTGCTGCTGCAATTTTGCTGCCATCTTCTCGCTTGAGGGTCCGAGCTTTAGGTAGGGGCCTGGGTGGCTTCTGAGGGGTAGGGGGGTGAGGCTCCTAAAACAATATCGTATTCAAAGTTTTACTTAACACACAAACCTCCACATAATATTTAGGACCAGTTTGTCAGGTTTATAAAAAGGGAGATATGACCAACATTCTATTTTTTACCATTTTGATATTTTTGCTCATACAAGAAATTGTACATGCCTACTCTTGTAACTTATTAATATGTGACATTTTGTACCTTTAGAGGAGTCCCTGCTATCCCAGTGCTCTCTGGTTCATCTTGGTTGCTATCAGAAGCTGAGGCTGCTGATCCCTGATCCTCCTGTGGTGGAGACCTTTGTTTCTTCTGGCCTTGTACTACTTGGGGTTTCATTTGAACAACATCTGGTTTGTATGAGGACTTGGATGGTGTTGGTTGGGGCTGAAAATGTATTTGTAATTGTCTTTGGCTTGATACTAAACCTTCATATTAAAGTAGGCTAATCTTACAAACATAAGTCCACCAATTCTACCACAGATGCTGCAGTAAAAAGCATAAAGAATGTTTTAACATTAACGACATTGACATACCCTATTTTGAGCAGTACTGGGACGGATTTCTTTATCAATAGGAATGGGGGTAGACATTGCTTTTGGACCCGAGGGAGGTATTTCCCCAGGAGTCATAGCAAAGGTGACTGATCCAGACACTGCAGGACTCTGGGCTATCTCATCCTCCCCTGGAAGGAATATTGGTTGCCCTGGTTTCTCAGCTGGAGTTGTGGCTAATATCTTGAAATAAAATCCAAAAGTTAAACATCCCAATTTAAACAGTCTTAAGTAATACATGTACACTATTACAACTTTAAGTGACAATTTATATTGTCATTGGCCAAGCAAAGCTTTGGTTTCTTTCAAAGTCACGGGTATTGTATTTTGTATATATATTTTTTCCTTAGTAGCAGAAGTTTTAGTCACAACTTTAGGGTGAATAAGCAAAATTGCCTGATTACATGGCTTGAGGACAATGTTTGTACATGCATATTGCAACTACAAGTATTAAAGCAAGGATTTCAGTTCTTGCTTAAGGGGAACATATGTATAATGCAACTATTCAAGCAAAAATTTTAGTCCCCACTTTAGGGGAATATTTACATATGTATATTGCACCTATTCAAGAAAGAAGTTTTGTCCACACAGTATTATTGTCCTTACCTGAGCAGGAGTTTTAGTCCCCACTTTAGGAGGGATGTATGTATATTGCCATTGTAAGTACACTTCAATAGTTCCATTTATAGCACCACTTTTCTGGAAATAACAGAAAAAATTAAATGAGACAATAATTGAGAAAATGCACTGTAAGAAAAAAAGATTTTGGAATCTTCCAAACAGCAAACTGATCACATAATGCACCATTCAAAAGTTTGTGTGAGACCCCCCACCCGGGGATGGATGGGGAATTTGACCAAAAAATTGCCTGTCTAATTCCTTATAGCACCTAAGTCTACGATAATGATGTCTACTATACTATATATTCTAATAGGCCTACTGCAAACCTGTTTGAGCTCAAACGTCCCTTGTATTGCTTTATCATGTGCCAGGGCTAACAGAGGTACATCAGTTCTACCCAAATATTCCACCTCCTCAGGGTCAGTGTCATCAAATACATAGATTTGTAATGGCTGAAAATATGTCATAAGTCAATACAATTGGGGAATATAAAATAGATCATGCAGATGAAGTAAGTAAACTAAGTACATTTTTGCATGGACAGTAAAATGTATGCAAACACGGTGAGAAACCTAACACTTGTTTCGGGTTCCATTCTGAGAAAATGTCCCATTGATACTGATGTGATATCATGAAATCTGAGTTAACTAAATGAAACACCATTCCCCCTAGTGTTCTTTTAATGAGTATATAATGAATGTATGTTCACTGAAACAATACCACATCTATGAGATTATTTTCTGTTTGAAACAATTTATTCTACAAAATTAAATTCATTATCAAGAAATTGTTGACATTGTAAAGGTTCTAAAAGCTCCAAATAATTAACAGTTACTGTGCAGTGCACTAAATGTTGCTTGATGAACTTACATGGCTTTTAAGGTAGCGATCTAGGTCTGCTGTCATGGCAACTGGGAATGATTTATGGTCGTTGAACTGAGGCTCATTTGAACTCTGTATGATTGTAGTGTCATGGTCTGGGAAGTCGAAGAACTTGTAAACGCAATATGGCGAAGGCTGCACATCTGAAAATTGATATACATACCGTATATAAAATAAATGATATGCCAAATTCAAGTCCTACATGTTTGCATTGATGATACAATGGCAAATAACAAGAATTCATTCATTTTTTTACGAAAAAAATAGTACCGTGGGTACTGGGCTCACATGGTGTTGCTCAAAAGTGAACGATGGCTAAAATGGCAGAAAATAAAAAATAAAAATGGATGTAATTTTTGCCGATTTTTAGTAACAGAATTATTTCATACAACTACTCTTTACAGTGACATGACTTTTTACAATGCAGGACACCTCAAATTATTTGTAAAGCTAGGAAATGGGCCACAAGTGAATTTTGCAGGACAAAAATGGCGACTATTTTGAATTGTGGATTTCGCGAGATAGATTGACAAATCAATGTTAACTAAAATGGCTGAAAATAAAAAATACAGATAAAATTTTTTGCCTATTTTTTGGAACAAAATTATTAAATACAACTACTCTTTACAGTGACATGGATATTTACAATGCAGGACACCTGAAATTATTTGTAAAGCTAGGAAATGGGCCAAAAGTGAATTCTGCGAGACAAAAATGGCGACCATTTTGAAAATAGGCGAGCTTTTGAACCATGAGTCATAGAGGAGTTTTCTACATTGATGTTGAACAAAAATAACTTAAAACGGAAATCCTATTGACAGAGGTTTTAAGGCAAATGGTCCAAAAGTGGATTTCGCGAAATAGATGGACAAATCAATGGTAACTAAAATGGCTGAAAATAAAAAAAAAAGTGGATAAAAATTTTTGCCGATTTTTTGTAACAAAATTATTTCATACCTACTCTTTACAGTAGCATGGCTTTTTACAATGCAGGACACCTGAAATTATTTGTCAAGCTAGGAAATGGGCCAAAAGTGAATTTCACAAGACGAAAATGGCAACCATTTTGAAAATAGGCGAGCTTTTGAACCAGGAGTCATAAGGGAGTTTTCTGTATTGATGTTGAACAAATATAACTTAAAACGGGAATCCTATCAACACAGGTTTGAAAGCAAACGGTCCAAAAGTGAATTTCGCGAGACAAAAATGGCGGCCATTTTGAATAGGCGAGCTTTTGAAACAGGAGTCATAGGGGGGTTTTCTATATTGATGTTGAACAAAAATAACTTAAAATGGGAATCCTGTTGACAGAGGCTTTAAAACTGGCCAATTGTTGACAGACGGACAGACAGTCAGACAGACAGATGGACAGACAGACGGATAAGTGAGTGATTGCAATAGCTCACCATGTGAGCTAATAAAAAACAGCAAAATAGTGGTCGTTGTTTCTTGAAGTGCCTTTCAACATTCTCCTGGTCTGATGATATTCATAAGAGACACATGCATGAAACGTTAGCCCCAAAAACCCTCTAAACAGCACAGAGCCTGGAGATATGCCTGTTTTGATGCATAGAAAGAGATGCTAGTATATTTTAGCTAAAAGTGTCCCATCGCAAACCCCAAAATTTTGTTTGAATTTGCAATTTATAAGATCATATCTAGCTATTGAAGTCAGTCTCATTAAACATGAAATCAAAATACCCTTTCTCCTTGCTTTAATTCCTGCACATCTGATGACCTTTATCTGCAACTGATTGACATTGTCTGAAGGCCTCTGTGCAGCAGTTTCATCAAGGGCCTCAAGAGCTTGTTCTGTTGTCCTAAGATTGGTAGCCAAGTAACCCAGAGCTTTAGTTCTCTCCTGGAATTGTTATATAGTAAGTTTTATCACCAATGTGAAAGTTGATATCTATGATCTCTCCTGAATAAAAGGAGTATAATTTCTCTTATTTGCCATATTTTACTAAGAAGCAGGAACTATATTTGGAGGAAAATTGTAATTTTCATCTGCGATATTATCCAAATTAAAAGTGCTGTAATAATTGTGTTCTGCTATGTACCTTGTATAATCGAAGTGCCTGGTCCATTGGCACTCTTAGTCTAACCCAGTATTCTACAGTGCCTAGGTTCAAGCCATTGCCTTCTCCATGTGATACCCCTGCAGTGAAACATTCGTAATGAGTGAGAGTGACATAAATAACTGCGTATAATCTCAAAATTTCTCAATGGCTTAGCTTTCGATGAGTCCTTTGGGGGTGATAAACCCAATCATTCTGCCATCTTTTATCTAAACAGCAGTTATTTAGTGAAAGCATGGTCATGCAAATTAATTTCTCTCCAAAAAGCCTAGAATTTAGAAATGTTATTTAAGGCAAATCCACTGAATAATACTAATTCAATTATTTTGAAGGTGTTTTACGATATCTCAATGTACCAAATAGGACACCCAACACAATCAGCCCCTCACAATTATTCAAGAAACCTACCTAGAACTGTCACATTCCCATGGATTCTGCCACTTGGTTTATCAAATATATCAGTGAATTTCAACTGGCATGCCCCCACAGTACGATAATCTGTGCCATATGATTGGTGGAGCTCTAATGTGGCGCCATCTTTCTGTAGGTAGTGGAGGAATATATCATCGACCTTGACCTCGTACTGGGAGGTGAAGTTAATATCTACCCTGAAAGTAAAAATATGAACAATGCCTACTTGTTGTATATAAATATACATCAACTGGTAATAAGTTGAATTAATACATGATTAAGTGTGTATAATTTTATTTTTTCTAGACTTCATTACAGTTTATAAACTAAAAAATTCATTCTTCAAAAGTGTGATGTATCATATATGTAATGTGTCTTCAAGCTGAACACTATCAAATCATTCTTTTAATTGCTATAGTATGGAACCATCTTTTGCTAGTGTAATCAATGCATCTAGGCATTTTATATATGAATTTTTCAATCAAATGTCTTACCATTTCTATACCTGTAAATATAAACATCCCAGAAAAGGGAAAAATGACTGGGGATTGAGATGAAACTATGAAATGTAAATAAATATTTCAATTTATGGCTATCTAGTATTCAACTATGAGGAAATATTCATTGAGATTAGAGAAAAATGTATGTACTTCCTTGCTACGTTACAATAATCTTAATTACAGGCAGATTAGCATTTTATGATAAGGTGACAAAGTTCAAATTGCTCATTAGCCTATATCGATTTGATCAAAACTGTTGATTATATAACATCGACATCTGATCATTTCCCTTATATATTATATGTATTTTGTGAAAGTCATTGTAAGAACTCTGCATTAGGTTCACAGTCCATTTCAATAGCCAATGGTAATGGTAATACAACCTACCAAAGGCCTTCTATGGAAGCATACTGAGTACTAAAAGTGTACACACTTCCTTGAAGAACATGTTTCGAGTTATGACATGTTAAATAGTGTGATACTTGACAAAATTGAGCACTTCTGTCTATACATACCTGGCACCTTTAACTACAGGCGTTGATTGGATTTCAAACTCGTAAAACTCCCAGGTACAGAACGTTGTAGGTTCATCATCTCCCAGGAATTTCAGAGCCTCTTTAGATAGCAGCACCTGTATTATAAAGCATAATTCACATCATTTAGGGGAGGGGGGGGGGCAGTTTGCCGCAGGAGGTTAATGATTCAAATATTTTGTTTTTGATCTGTTGCTTTCTTCTTTCAAATCCAGTGATACCGTAAGTAGTTTACGAGGAAATTCATTATACAAATATATTCAAGTATAAAAGAACATAAAGACAACAATATCGAAAAAAATGAATAAATGGCAAGTTCCAAAAACCAACATACCTTAGAAATGTGTATTTCAAACATATTATGTCCTCGTTCAAGATGTAAAGTTTCATCAATTTCTTCAACTTCACTTTCTTCCATCTCTCTGATCTTATATTGTTTAGTACCATATGCAACATCCTTCATTTGAGCCTCTAGTTTCTGAAAACAATAATGGAACTTTGTTTGTCAATTTTCCTGAATGGTAGTGGAGGGTGTCTCAAAAATGTACCAAAAAGTATATCGATAGCACAGGATATTTTCAGACATTTTTTGCATTGTTATGTAGCCAAAGCATGCAAGTTTTCTCCCCAATAAACAGTTTTTAGTTCAGTCTTGCCTTTCGATGCTTAATTCTTTTCATACCACATGATCAATGTAACTTCCTAATCGACCGATGACAGCCTACTTTTTTGAGACACCATGTTATTGGTCCAGGGGGGTTGTATTAGGCATTGTTACATTTAGTGTTACATTCCATTAATTAACAATTTTTGGGGTTGTTTACTTAAATATGACTGATTGCACTTTTTAAGCCTCTTTGGTCATTCCCTTTTGGAATTTATTAAGCTCACACACTTCAAGTGTGTGAGCTTAATAAATTCCAAAAAGTTTTCAAGGTTTCATCTATTTCTTCAAACATCAGTCACCCAACTTAACTTAAATTAGATTTTTTGACACATTTCTAAAAACAAAGTAATTCTCAACCGTCCATATACACGGAAAGACAAATTATGGATTAAAATTTATCAATTGATTTTAGATGGTATTTTTCAACAACACGCTTTAAAATATGTTCCCCTTCTTGATTAATATACTATAATGAAACATAAAACAAGTTTAAAGGGCCACAAATGTCCATAGTGTCTGAGAGATTTCAAAGATTTGCATTGAAATCAATTTAGAGGCATTATTATCATGCATATGCAAGGTAAAATATTCAATTTGAGTCAAGTGAGCTATATTACACCACTGCACAATATGAAAATATAATCCATTTATACAACTGAAAAATACACAAGAGTTCAAAAGTGACACTTGTTTTGAACCTACTTCTGTTTTAGCAAGATATTTCCTCATTATACACATCTATCAAAACATTGTCAGGTTTTATCAATTATCACTCCAATAGGATTTCACTTTTCCCCAATTCATGTCACTTTAATCAGCTTCCTTCTCCAGAAGTAGCAATTTGGAGAAGTAAATTTTTATGACTGGTGATAAAAACATCTTTGTTGACAGCTTCCTTTTCTCTTGGCTTGTGACACTCATCTCCATTTACTGACCTCTGGCTATTTAATTATACCTTATAATCGTCTAGTACTCTGATTGGGCAAGGACATTTCTTCTAAAAAACTTTGAGAGCAATGAAACAGTTCACACCAAGGATTGAAACAGAAAAATTAAGGCATTAACATGACAGAATGTCATCATTTTAGTTACAATAATTCAGATGCCAGTAGGTAGTTATAAATTTCCTCACCAGGTGGCTAATTTGGGTCAGATAACATGGCACATATAGCAGAAAGTTCTTGAATATTTATCGATTTTAGTGGATCAATTATCATATTACCTTTATCTGTATCTGATAGGCCTATACAAACTAAAATATGTTCAGTAAAAGAAAATTTTATCTGTCCGATACAAGAAAAGATGTGGAGAATCTACCTGACCTAGAAGTGTCATTTTCAAAGAATATCAAATTTTCAAAGTTGATAAAAAAATTTGAAACTACATTTCTCATAATTTTACACTTAGATTTCAAATGTGATATCACTTTGACTGAATTTAAATGCAAATCAAGATTATTTCTAGTTGCATCTAGTCTATGAATATTGCTATGCTCATAGCCAAATGCTGGTCACAAAGATGGTGGCTAATAATATGTCACCACTTTCCAGTCAATAGTGACAAAAATCAAACTGAAAAGCCTATCAATAGATCATTGACATATTATGACTAATTATACTAATTTACATTTGATATCAGTTTGATTATCTCAAATGAGCATAAAATAAAATTAATTTCAAAAGCTTCCCCCTCAGCTTTCCTCAACATCAAGGAGGGAAGTACGGGAAATTACTCATTTATCTCACTGGAGTAGCTGGGTATGGCAATGGGAGATTTTAAATAAATTAAAATTCTTCTTTCGTTTCATAAAATAAAGAGGATCATGTTTGTGTAAAATTACGATGATGAAGACAAAGTGAAGCTGAAACACAATCCACAGACAAAGGGCAAGCATGGTACCTCTTAAATAAAAGACTTCTGAATACAAAACATTGATCGGCCTCAGTTACATTTATTCACTGGTTAGCCCCATTCACTTCATAGAGCCAGGCCAAAATCAATTTAATATACAAATGTGTATTGGATTCAGGTCCAGCATTTACTAAAAACAAGAACCTTTAAAGACTAGTGTTGAAGTCATCAATATAAATGGAACAACACTGGAATCTATTACATAACACACTCACACTTGAGCACTAGGAATACTGCCATGGAGTCGACATTGCTCTTGATTTTAATAGCAGGTTATCTCATTGCAGCTTCTTTTGCAAATCCAACATGTCCAGGTAGGATAATATATATTTGTTATCAAATTTGATTTCGTCAATTCAAATGGGGAGGTGCATTTCTGATAAAATTCTAAGCTGAGAACGCTTACAAAAATGACCCCATGTTTTTTTGTATTTCTTCTTAAAGAAACAAAAAGTGTATGAAACACCTTATTCTTTATTTGAATTATATTTCTGTTTGATGTATTACAGGTGACTGTTACTTTGGTGACTACCTGCTAGTAAGAGTCCCCGAGGCTACAAGTCCTGACTGTCAAGTATTGAATACAACTGATGATGTTAAGCACTCACGCGAGTTATGTTTTGCAAAAGCATGTGAACTAGGAGGAAATGTCATACAATATGGACAGGGGGGAAACTGTGGAATTTACAAATGTAACTCTAATATAAATGGAACAGATTGGGACTATGCATGGGTTGATAAAGGTATACACCAACCAGTCTACGCAAAGCCACATCCGTATATACCAAGGTGCCACAGTTCGCATTTCATGAGAAGATGGTGGCAAGAATCAGTCTCATCACAGTGTGATTCTATCACTACAAACACTGTTAATGACCTTCATGAATGCATGTCCATTGCTTGTCATGACAAGGCAAATGTGTTCAACTTTTACCCTAATGAAATGCCACAAAGATGTGAAACCAAGTTCTGTAAATGGAATGCTGAGGCCAATGATTACGATTTCAACTTCAGAGATGATGAGAATCATACAGTTTTGATTTATGGTTTATCTCATTTAGCTGTAAATTGTAACAATAGTCAGTTTAAAACTGAAAAAATACAACTTCCTGGTCCAGAGTGTAAGGAGACACATTTGTGTGGGAATCATACAGCTGGTGAGGTGTTTTGTAAAGCTGGTTCTAACGTTGTTACAAGGTTTACAAATTCAACAACTAATTTTTCTACAGCTTGGACATGTGGAAGTAACCATGAGGGGACAGGATGGAAATACTATAGTGATAAAAAAACTTGCTACCAAATAAAGTCAGAAACACAATTTGAGTGGCTAATTGAACCGTATCCCGGAACCCCCCTATGCAATTCTTCTATGTATGTAATGAAAAGACTTAAACATCAATGTTTGATGTCAATGTGTACCCAATCAGTTGTAATCCACCAAGCAAAGGACTTAAGGCAGTGTATGTTATACGCCTGTGAATACAAGGCCAATGTCATAAATTACTTCAGCAACATTAACAGTTCTGACAATTTATGTGATCTTAGATACTGTAACATAAATCACAGTGGTGAATATGACTTACAGCTGGGAGATACTAATCCAGGATATGATATCTATGCCATTGTTATCCAGGATGAGACATCTACATCCTCCACTGTGATGACTTCAATGGTAACTGTTATAGCAACAAGTACAAGTGGTCCAAATAGTACAACAGAGCCTGTTACTGACTATTTTACAAATTCAACTTTGAACTATATGCCTTCTCTTTCTCCTCTGAATAATGCTACTTTTGAAGCTCAAACAAATACCAAACCATTTGACTTCAGATTAGCTACAATTATTCTTGGAGCCATTCTGTTTGTTGCATTACTTGTGATGGTTGTTATATTGGTTCTGTGTAGAAGGCAGCAAAATAAAGGAATCAATGTCTCAGACAGTGCAGGTGGTGAAAACATCACCGCTATTGAAGGTCCTGCCACAACTTATGAAGACCTTGATGAAAGAAATAACAGCATAGTAGTGGGTATAAAATATGAGAGTTTAGAAAATAAGTGCTGTGATGAGTATGAGGATGTCATCATCCCAAGGCTAAACAAAGCAGGAGACACAAAAACCAAAACTGGTCAGAACCAACCTGGAGAATCCAATGAATATACTGATATGAAACCTTTATCAAACAATACCAGCAATTCAAATGCCAAAAGTATTCAGAACCAATCTGAAGAGGCTACTGAATATGATGAGGTGAATTCCTGGTTGACCCCAGGAAACAAAGAAATGAAAAGTCATGAACTTCCAATTGAATGCTCTGGTGAATATGCTGAGGTTAAAACCACTTCAAACAACACAGGAGTACAAAGCTACCTTGAAGTCTCTAATGAATATACAGAGCCTAAAACCACATCAATCAATACAGGAGTACAAAGCCACCCTGAAGTCTCTAATGAATATGCTGAGGTTCAAACCACATCAAACAATACAAAACGTCAACCTGAAGTCTCTAATGAATATACAGAGCCTAAAACCACATCAGTCAATACAGGAGTACAAAGCCACCTTGAAGTCTCTTATGAATATGCTGAGGTTCAAACCACATCAAACAATACAAAACGTCAACCTGAAGTCTCTAATGAATATACAGAGCCTAAAACCACATCAATCAATACAGGAGTACAAAGCCACCTTGAAGTCTCTAATGAATATGCTGAGGTTCAAACCACATCAAACAATACTAAAAGTCAACCTGAAGTCTCTAATGAATATACAGAGCCTAAAACCACATCAATCAATAAAGGAGTACAGAGCCACCTTGAAGTCTCTAATGAATATGCTGAGGTTCAAACCACATCAAACAATACAAAAAGTCAACCTGAAGTCTCTAATGAATATGCAGAAGTTAAAACTTCATCAAACAAAACAAGGGTACAAAGCCACCTTGAAGTCTCTAATGAATATGCTGATGTTCAAACCACATCAAAAAATACAAAAAGTCAACCTGAATTCTCTAATGAATATGCTGATGTAAGTATCTCTACAAATGATGCCAGAGAAATTTCAAAATCAAAAGATGACAGTATTCAGAAAGAAGTTATCAGCTCAAATGAATACACTGAAGCTGAAATGTCACCAAATGATGAAGAAACTTCAAAGGTTAATATTGTGCAGAACCAATTTGAAGGTGCAATTGAGTATGATGAAATCAACAACTTGCGATGTATAAGAGATACAAAAGATGAAGGCATTCAAAGCAAACTTGAAAAGTCTGGTGAATATGCTGAGGTTATCCCTGCACCAATCAATATAGATTGTTCAAATTCAAATGGTGCGATCCATGGTGACAGTGCTAATAATAACACATATATGGAAATGTCAGGCTCTAGCCGGAATAGTCTGAACCAATTTGGAGACTCTTACGTACATGCTGATACTGACCTTCAGCCAAGTAACATAGCAGAATCAGACAACAAAGATATGGAGACTCAACTTGGAAGGTCTGATGAGTATAAGTCTCCCAAACCATGGATAAAACAATCAAAAGATGAAAGCATTCAGACCAATTTTGAAGATTCCACCCAGTATGATCTCCCAAATCCTACATGGCCAAACATTATTGGAGACCCACTTTATGGTAATATTCAAAATCAAATGCAAGGAACAAATGCTATAGTCTGTAGTGACTATGAAGTTCCTATATCTGTCCATTATGCTCCAAATGAGGAATATGATGAGGTGAAGAACTGGTTGAGCTAAATAGCTGATAAAGTAATATAATATTATGTATGATTTTGTAAATGGCATTTTAATATTTCATAGTTTTATATACATGTAGAATATGTAGTGCTTCTATCAAACCATGGTGTTATGAAATGTCAACGCTGTGTGGCGTAATTGATTGTTTTTTTAAATACTATAGATTGGGTTAATTTGGCGCTAATTAATTTGGCGATTTTGCATAATGGCGGCTAACTTCCATATACACTGGACTAAAATAAAAATTATTACACATATTCCTTCAATTCAACTACTATATCTCGCCAGTAATTTATTATAGACAGAATCCTTGTGGTAATGCTCAATCATATTGATGTTTATTCAGCTTATCCTTTTCAGATTTTGTAAAAACTAAACTTAAAGTGACTTAAATACACCGGACAATAGTATAGTTTCTAAATAGCTAAATAAAGCTGAATAAAGCTGACATAATAGATGTCACCTTTGTTCATCTTGGGCCAACCTTCCATTGAGTTCTATGCTAAAAGCTTGCAATAGTCACTTATTTCCATGATTTATCAAGGGGGTTAGTTAAATCTGTCTGAAACTTGAATGGCATACTATTAAATGACCCTGTCAATGAACATATTGTGATTAAACATGAAAATGTCGGTTGTCATACGATTAAACCATGGTTTTAAAGAATTTTAGCATAACATCAATGGAGATTTGGCTCAAGTTTTTTTAAAATGTCATGGAGAATGATTTAAATGACATTAATGTGTAAATCAAAGCTATTATTGTAGGAAACATATCGCTGAATTCAAATATGCTATTAAAAACAAAGAAAAGTAAGTCATTAGAGGTAAAATGTGCAAATCTCTTAAAATCTCATGAAAAAAACGAGAATAAGCGAGATTTCAAAATCATTTAGAAACTCCTCTATTAAAGTGGGCACCAAATTAACCCAATCTACAGTATGCTATAAGCATTGGACATACATACATGTCTATTTTTCATTTTCAGACAAATGACAAGATTAATAATGCTTTGTTATATATTATACATATTGTATTTATCTGTTTTGTAGTTTTATCCACTTTGTGAATTAATTTTGTACTCGAATGTGAAATACAATATCTCATACAGCCAAATTAATTTTATTTTCAAAGGGTAATGTGGAAATGCACTGGTACATACACCAAGTGTTGTTAATTCATAAAATAAACTTTGAATCTCTGTGTTCTTGCTATATTTTAGGCATTAGATTTGTATAGCCTTTCATGTTTTCAAAACCTAATTTCAAATTTATGATGGCCATAAACAGAAATGGTATAAGAAATATCTAAAGCATGAAAAACAAGGTATGAATATACTAGTGTAGTGTAGCAATAAATGTAGTATACATTATTTTTATCTCTTGTGTTCACAAATACTTGCGCTAAAGCCGAGGAAATAAGCAGAAATATAAATTAAAATTGAGTGCTCCCTTTCTATAGTCTTGTTGAAACACACTTTTCTATATGTACAAAGCAGGTTCCAGAATCAAAAAGAAATATAACCCAAATTAAATTATGATTATTCATAAGAGGACATTTAAATCTACAAGATGTAAAAATATCAAAATTGTCCAAAGAAGGCGACACATGCAGTAGACCAATTCAATAAAAAACAAGTCTCGATTTGGAGAAAGAAGTTCATCAGTGTACTGCGTCAATAATCTTTTTGAAAAATATAGAAATGTCACCCAAATTGAATTATTAATATTAAATAGAGGACATTCAAATCTACGATATGTAAAAATATCATAATTGTCCAAAGCAGGCGTAACGTGCAGTAGACCGATTCAATAAAAAACAAATCTCGATTTGGAGAAAGAAGTTCATCAGTGTACTGCGTTAATAATTTTTCTTTGAAAAATATGGAAATGTCACCCAAATTAAATTATGGATATTCAGAAGAGGACATTTAAATCTACGATATGTAAAAATATCAAAATTGTCCAAAGCAGGCGTAAGGTGCAGTAGACTGATGAACTTTGTTCTCCAAACCGAAATTCCAATATCAGAGCTGCACAATGAGACCTTCATAGCGTTTGTGCCAGCTATCAGGTGATAGCATCTGTCAGTCAGTTCAATCAGTCTCAAAAAACTTGTCTGTGTGTCAGTTCTATTGATGTGTTTCAAAAAATCAAAAATCTGTTCTGTCCAAAATTTCAGTTTTGAAGGATTAACAATGCCTTACTGTGAAAACGATAAGGCTAATATTGAAGCCTGTTTCAAGGTGAAAGGATGGGTGGAAGATGAATTGTAAAGGAATTAAGGTCAAGAGTTTGAGTCACATAACTGTAAATAGACTCATGAACAAAAATGCACTACATCCAACATGCATTAAAGGATGAGATAATCATGTCATGGGAGGCGATATCATTGAAAGAAATACACACAGGCATTTTTTCTTGGAAAACGGCTTCTTCCAGACTGAAATAAGTGATTTTTTCTGTTGATATTGGATATTTTGGCATGCTGAAAAAAAGAATTTGGCTATCAATTGCTTAAAAAATACTTGTCAAAAAGAGGATCACTTTTTTGGGGACACCCGATATATTAATTTGCCCAAATACCCAACATTAAGTTCTTAAGGCACAAACTGCGTAATCTGAAACCTACAAAAGTTAAGGAAAAATTCTTATACAGGTCCTAGTCAATTAAAATAAGGAAAATCAACAAAATATATTAGGCTAATTTCCGCTTAAAATTCCCGAATTAAATCAACTTCCTACTTGAGAAGTATCACTCAAAGGCCCATAAAATATCTTAATAATAATAACTAAAGTTTCAAGTATTTTTCAAAATCATTTTAAAATAACATTTCCATAAGGCAAATCATGCCAAATGGAAGAATATTGCCAAATAATCAGTCAAATGTGCCTTGATTTCCCTCTCTCACCACATGACGTGTTATTACCATGCTAGTTGGTGAAAATAATGGACTGAGAGTGATAGCCATGTCAATTAATGAAGTGCATGGGGCAAGACCCAATATAGAGCTTTGATTTGAGCCACCTGTCTTTCCTTATTGAAAATACTTATATAATTCCAAAGTAGGTAGTTAAAGTAATATCCTGTTCATTTATCCTCATTGAAGATACTTTATATCGATCAAAAATTTTCAATAAGCATCTTCCTTACATTTAAACATTTTAAAGGGTTTTGTCTATTTAAAATATCTTTGAGAAGTGATTCATTTTGAGCGAATCAGGAACAACATAAAGAGTTTGCTTGGATAATGCAATCACTTTATATATTTGTTTCATAACTTCACAATGAAACATGATTCACTTATCATATATTTTTGGATCTAAGAAGTGGTATCGGTTAGGGGTACCGCGAGCGCTCGAGTGTTCGAGCGCTCCAGCAATTCACCTCCGATACAAGCTGTATCGATACATAAAAAAAATATCGGTCGTATCGTTTTTTGACCGGAAGTCCCTTCTTACTTACCCAAAGGAAGGGAAAAACTCAGCGCTTAGAGATGACAGACAGTCATAGTTACGTATTTTGCTTGCCACCTTCGTTTGCCCCTCTAGTTCCCAAATATCACACGTCGTTAAGATGTTTTAATCGATGTTAGCATATTTTACACCTTTCTTTGTCGTGATGTGAAATTAACGTAATCCGGCTGAAGTACTTCCGGCTTTACACGTTTGAAAGATTAGAATAAAATTCAGTTTTACTTCAATTTACGCTGTATCATTGTATCGTATCGTTCGTATCGTATCGTGAGGTCAGTATCGTAGATACGTATCAATATTCAGTTTCTCGTATCGTGGTACCCCTAGTATCGATATGGAGAACTGAATTCAAAAATGTTTTTTTCTTAAACCAATCATTGAAAACATTCTGTAAAACAACACAGTATTTTATGTTATGTTGACTGATTGACAACAATTTAATGCGAAAATTATTTAGAAATACTTTATACAACTGTTTTTGTTAAAAAATTTTGTTTTTTAGTGCAATTATTTTTGCTCCTTTCTACCAATTCTTGAGAATGAAATAAAATGTCTTTCCGAACCTTGTTGGAACAAAATAGCATATGCAACATGTTTTGAGAGTATTATAGTTATACAAAGGAATTTTTGGTTGATTTTAAAAAAGTGTTCAAAAAATTAAAACAAAATCCACCCAAAATCATAAATAAAAATCAAGATAAACCTTTTATTTCATTAACAAGACACTTTTTAAAATCAACCAAAATTTCCTTTGTACAATTACAATATTGAGAGACCTAATCATGTTCTGTTGTGTTTATGTCGCTTTGTTCCAATGAGGTTCGGAAAGATGCTTCATTTCACTCTGGAAACATGATACCAAGAACAAAACAAGTGTTTGATGTGTTTTCTAAAACAATATAGATGAAAGTATATATATATTTTTCAAATTATATTGTTACCATTCAAAAGATGACCATTAAATTGACGATGTGTTAAATTTTTAATTTTTTTATGACTGGTTTAAGAGAAACATGTTTTCAAAAAGTTCTCCATATTGATACCACTTCTTTATGTTTTATGGATTATGACATGTGGTGTAGTGTAAAGTCTCCGATAAATCGGACTACGTATACCGCCGTGTTTACATTAGGGGATTAGAAGAGTTTACTTTTATTTAGGTGTGCAAGCAATATCAATATTAGGCCTTCATGCATGTACTCGTGTGTACAATCAGCATGCCCTTCAATATTATATAAACCAGGCTATTCAAGTACTACATAATGTACACTATTTATGTGTGTACTACATGGGAATACGATTCCCTGGGAAACAAAACACAAATACTTTTTATATGTTCAAAATGAGCCATTTGATTGATGCATACACTTAATAGCTCATTAATCACCCTATGCAGACAGAGCCTGTGGGAAATATTGGGTGCGGAGCAAATGAGCGGAGGGTGCGGAGCTAGCGGTCATTTTTGAATTTAAATTTGGGATATTTCTGAAACTAAACCGTTTTGGGACTTCAAATATACCAAGATATGTGTATTTGACACCAAATATCAATACAATTGTGAAAATAGTAGCGCAATTCATTCTATAGCGACGCAGTGTGCCTTAAACTTTTCCCAGACCTATATATGAGTCCCCAGCATTCATAAAAAATGTAGTTCAAGGTACACTATCTATACAAATTATTTTTGCATCTTGGAAGCCAGGCAGTATCTGTGTGATTTTATAAAAATTCGGAAATGTTTTTCAGATATGAGCCCCCTCTAAATATTGGGTGCGGAGGAGCTCCATAAACGTACCTCCGCACCCAATATTTAGAGGGGGCTCATATAGCATATCTTTATGTTTTATGGATTATGACATGTGGTTTAAAGTTGAAAGCCAATACTCATAGCATCAGAAAAGCTGTAGATACTATACTAGTATCCATAATATTCAGCATTCAGTCCCAAGCGATGTGGGACAGAAGTCCATTAGCATATCTTTATGTTTTATGGATTATGACATGTTGTTTAAAGTTGAAAGCCAATATTCATAGCATCAGAAAAGCTGTAGATACTATACTAGTATCCATAATATTCAGCATTCAGTCCCAAGCGATGTGGGACAGAAGTCCATTAGCATATCTTTATGTTTTATGGATTATGACATGTGGTTTAAAGTTGAAAGCCAATACTCATAGCATCAGAAAAGCTGTAGATACTATACTAGTATCCATAATATTCAGCATTCAGTCCCAAGCGATGTGGGACAGAAGTCCATTAGCATATCTTTATGTTTTATGGATTATGACATGTGGTTTAAAGTTGAAAGCCAATATTCATAGCATCAGAAAAGCTGTAGATACTATACTAGTATCCATAATATTCAGCATTCAGTCCCAAGCGATGTGGGACAGACAAAATCTAGTCTCAAAGTCCATTAGCATATCAAATGGTCAACATCCATCTGCAAAGCCAGCACCCTAATCCATAAATCGCCATATTTCACAGTTGTCACCAGGAGAAAACTATGGCTGGTTTTTATCTGTATTTCTCAACCATAACTGGTCATAAGAAGAAATCTCACAATATCCCAAACCCAGGCCCAAACTGTGATCTAACTATAAAGAAACACCTTCTCCATCATCTAGAAATCTTCTGATATCAATATCCTCATCCAGAAATCACATCCAAAACCACAGGACCTTTCAACATTTAATTCATACTGAAGTTATTGAAATACATGATGATGACCAAATAAAAGAGAATTTCAAATACCTAATTTCAACATTGAGCTGATACTGGGTGTTGAAGATCAAGGCACAAACATTTATCAAAAACAAGAACCTTTAAATATAGAGACCCCTTTATAAATGAACGCATTGCAACTGGATGTCACTCGCTCTCTCTGCTCTACTGATTAAGTACAACACATGGTAGCCATGAAGATCATAATTATATTGATGATACATGGAGCATGTCTCATTTTTGCTTCTCTTGGGCCCCCAGCATGTCCAGGTAGGGTATTATCTATTATTTGTACAATTTAGTGTTTGAAAGTAGTTAAAAATTTAACACAATTTATCAAGTCAACTAAACTTAATTTTCCTCTGATATTTTTCTTTCAAGAATTGATGACTATTAGTCTATATGATGTCTCATTAAAAACAGAATTAAAGATATATGGAATGGCAAAATTGCAATCAACATGCACAATTAACCTGCCATGTATTTTGCTCCTCCAAAAAGACCTGTTAAATCTTATCAAATTGGAAAGTTATTTAAGAAAAAAAGCCAAAATTAAGTTGGTTCAACCAAATAATAAATATAGATATACTACACATTTCTAGAAAAATGAACACATAAATGTCAATTTTCATGGTTTTGCTGGAATGAAGTATGAACTTTGGGAATCAACAAAATAAATATGACAAAAATGATGTGGTTCTATTATAACCTTTTCTAAAATTCAAACAACTGTTTGAATGAAATGTTGTTTGCTAGATCAACACCATTTGGCACAGACAAATAACTCAAATTTTTGATATTTCTAAATTAAATATATGTGTATTACAGGTGATTGCTACTTTGGTGACTATCTAGTGGTAAGAATGCCTGAGCCAGATGATCACTTTGCAATTCCTTCATGTCCTATATTGAGCAAAACAGAAGGTATATATAACACAAGCCAGTTATGTTTTGCAAAAGCTTGTGAACTAGGAGGAAATGTTATACAACACCGACCATGGACGGCGGGTCATCATTGCGGAATTTACAATTGTAGTTCCAATGTGGACGGGACTGACTGGGACTTCAAATGGACTCACGATGAGAGCATTTATCCGCAGATTTATGCAAAGCCACATCCTTATTCCCAAAGGTGTCACAGTTCTTATTTCATGAGAAGAACATGGCGAATCGGTATGACATCAGTTGCCTCTCAGTGTCTCCCTATCGCTACAAGACCTGTTGCTAATTTGAGTGAATGTATGCATGCTGCTTGTCATGACAAGGCAAACGTGTTCAACTTTTACCCCAATGAAGCACCACATAGATGTGAAACTAAGCACTGCAAATGGAATGTCAATGCCAATGATTATGATTTCAAATTCAGCAATGTAGAAAACAGTGTGGTATTGGTTTATAGTTTATCCCACTTAGCCACACATTGCAACAGTACTCAGTTTAAAAGTGAACCAATACAACTATATCCTAAGTGTAGAAGAGCATCTGTCTGTGGACAGGGTAATGTGGAAGAGTTCTGCAAAGGTGGCTCAAATGTCATCTCACATCATCCCAAAACTAACGATTCTTTTGATGCATGGACATGTTCCAGTAACCATGAGGGAACAGAGTGGCAATTACATTATAAAGATAATGACACATGTTACATTTCAGTAGAATATACAGAGTGGCTAATTCTACCATATCCAGGAACTCCAGTCTGCCATTCTTCCATATATGCGATAAAAAGACTCAGCAATAGATGTCGCATGTCAACATGCATGAAGTCAATTATGATCCACCAGGCAAGGGACTTGAGGCAATGTATGGTATATGCCTGTGAATATGAGGCTAATGTCATCAATTACTACAGTAACAGTTCTGAAAACTCTGTGATTTGTGATCTTCGATTTTGTAATTCATTTCAAGATGGTGAATATGAGTTACAGTTGGAGCGAAGTTCACCTGGATATGATATTTATGCCCTTGTTGTCCAGCCTGGAACTACAACAGAAACTGTCGTGGTTGATGGATCTACTCGTACTTGCAATTATGATGCAGAAACTACAAAATTGAGAACAACTGCTATCATTCTTGGGTCTGTTCTGTTCGTTGCAATAAGTGTGATAGTTGTTCTATCAGTTATGTACAGGAAGCAGCAATTGCAGGTGTTGCAACATGGAAAGGGAACCACTATCTCACACAATGCGGTAACTGATAACATTACAATTGAAAATACTGCCAACATGTATGAAGACATACATGACAGAACAGATGCAAACAACACAAGAGACTCAGGATATGAATGTATTCAGAACCAACTACAAAAATCAAATACTGAAATCTGTAATGGTCCCTATGAAGTCCCTAGCCCTAACAAACTCCAAAACTAAGGGAGTCTAATGTGTAAATGTAGAAAACATTAAGTGGGGAATTTCTGGTCATTTAAAGGGCAATTTATAGGAAAAATTTAGTTTCCATATTGCACATTTCTAGCAGTTGTCATCATGGCAGAGTTCCGTCCACATGTGTGTGACAGTTATGTACAAAGATATATAGATAGGATTCATACAGTGGCTTATAGGGAGGCTAGAGACTCTGGTGCGACCTTTATCACTAAAAATGGGTAGCAGACAAGGGGAACAGATCACCAAACTGAGTCCAAAAATGACCAGAAATTTCGCTCTAAATGACCCCATACACACATACTTTGATACATTGTATCTTTTTTCAGGGACACCCCTGGATTCTGAACTTTGCAATCTTATGTAACTTCCCATAAAGAACAAAATGATATAAAATAACATGATAGGGTAGTAATGCCATATGTATGAGTTTATGGGGGTGTATACATATGAAAAACCCTGTATAATCACTGCTACCCACCTAATTACACAGCTGATCGTCGGTGTATCATGGCGGAACTTCCTCCGGGACTAGGTTTCGGCTTTACACCTACTTATAAGTCACGTTGTGGATAATAATTTGGCTCGAAGTTAAGGAAGATAGTCTAGTTTGAGAATGTGTCGATGGTTTTAGGTTTTATATGTTAACAAAGACACAATTCACGTATTTAGTCCCTCGCTTTTCTTACACTGACGATCGGCATTAATATTGCCAATATTACACTGATATTGGTCGTTCGTCAGTGTAAGAAAAGCGAGTGACTAAATACGTGATTTGTGTCTTTGTTAACATATAAAACCTAAAACCATCGACACATTCTCAAACTAGACTATCTTCCTTAACTTTGAGCCAAATTATTATCCACAATGTGACTTATAAGTGTGTGTAAAGCCGAAACCTAGTCCCGGAGGAAGTTCCGCCATGATACACCGACGATACGTCTGTGTAATTAGGTGGGTAGCAGTGATAATTAAGTTTTACAAAAGTCTGTTTAAAACTATGTACTTTGTACTTGTATTTAGCTATCATAATTTTATGATAGTTGTTACAGTACTAATGTCTGGTGTAAACAATATATTGTATTCGGTACATAATATAAAATGCCTTTATTACAAAAATCAGTGATCCTTTGAACAGATCTAGAATATAGTGATAAAAATATGAGGCAACGCAGAAAAGAATCCCAATGGAGAAAACCTTTAAAAAGTTGAATCTATCACTGTCTATCGGATTATTTCATGAACTATAGAAAAATCTACTAAGAAAATAGAGAAGTACTTTTTAAGTTAAGTTTACCTTAATTCTAGCTGCCCTGATATCCAGCAGTTGTGCATATTCCTCTAACTTTGTCTCATATTCTTTACGATTTTCCTCCATCTTTGAAGTCACTGCTGCCACCTATTATATATTCATAGAAATGATGCAGTTGCTTGTTGAAAATCATATTTAAAATATTTCACTAATTAATCAATTGTGAGATCTTTACAAAATGATTCTTTGAGCTGAGCCAATATGCTACTACAACATATGTAACAATTAATACTGTGTATAAAAATAAAGATATATATGTATAAAAAATTAGTTCATACTTTTTTAACCTTTGATACTTGGTTATCTGATTGACCCGTATGATGAAAAACTATCTAACTAGAAAAAAGAGGGCAGGTGGATATTATACCTCTGTCTGGTAGTCTTTATTGATCCTATGTTGCACTATCAACATGTTACGTGTCTTCTCTAGTTCATTAATGGTTTCAGCATACTCTGCTTGGATCTCAAGAATTTCCTTAGTAGCATCTGAAATACAACATATACAAAAATATAAATAAATAATAATTGCATTTTTAAGTTTATATTACAAATGTTATGTATACTCTTGTTAACATATATCACAACATTTTAGGATTCAAATATGCATTGAATTGAATTTATTGATTATAAAGTTTCTTTTATTACGATTAGTGGTCTCAAAGATTTTCATGGAAAAACTAAACAGAAGTTGTGATAACCCATTTCCCCCAAATTAGCAGGCATTAATGAAATTGCAATGGACATCAGTATGAAAAAAAAAGTTTAATCTGAATCACAAATGACACTCTGGCAGATTTCTCAGTTTAAGTGATTTTTACAATTCATTGTTTTCTTCCAATTATATTTTCTCCAACAGTTGCCTTTCAAGAGAGTGGCATGCAGTTTAGCGTGACCTCAATTATAAAATGCACACAACACTATGCTTCTTGTTCATTGTAAAATGTGCAGAGAATGTATAATGTTTCACATTTAAAACATGAAACATTCTATAACAAATGCCAAACAATTGTATTTTAACAAGAGTATAAACAGGGAGAGACTTTTTTAATTTTGTTTTATTTTTTAATATTCATATATTTTCTCTCTTTTGTTTTTGTTTAGCAGGAGTTTAAAAAAGAAGTTGGAAGTGCAATTTTTGTAAAACATGAGTTAAGACAAATGAAAGCATGAGTAACATTTTTATTCTCAAATGTAATAAAATTTCCTGTAAAATTAAATCCACTTTAAGATTTTAACAAATGGTTTAAAACTATATCCTAAACAAATAAATATAAAATTCTGTCACTCCATTATTTGCAAGGGTGTGAAGCAATTTATGATCTATGACATATTGATCTGCTTGTCTTTTTTATGTCAGAATAATTTCAGCCAGGGCATTATTAGCACTCAATGGCTATCAATTAAAAACACTATTGTGACAATCAATTATATTGATACCTGTAATGCACTAACCTGCACATTTCAACATTATATCTACTAAGAAAAATATTTCGACATTTTTTAAATTGCCAAACATTGCATTTGTCTTTTCATGGCTAAAACATCATATAATGAATATACTCAACCATACAAACTGGTTATTAAGTTTTATTTTGAGTTTGAATAAAATTAAATGTGAAGTTTTATTTATGGGTTCAGCCTTCACCTATAGATAGTTCTTTTGTCATTTCATTAGGTTCATAATCACTATGTATTGTTTTCCAATTAGACTTCCTGAGAGTGTCTAGGCGTTAAAATATGATGTCTCTCTGGGGTAGCATTGAAGCCACAGCATAGAGGGCTCCTTCATTAGCTACTGGCCCCATGGGTATCAAACACCAGGTATATTACCTGTCAAGTGTTTTTCCCCTTTCAAGAAATGTCACTCTAACATGTATTTTAAAGCCTATGTGTTGTAAAAATGTATGTGTAGTATAATGTTTTATATATCAGAGGCCAAGCTACAAGGAATGCTATTTTCTCGATGAGTAATATCCTGGGTTTTACTGTCTTTGGACAGAATATACAGTTTAGTTCAGACAATATAGTTAGAATTTTATATTGGGGGATACATTTTCACCTCTAGCCCCCCAGTCAACCTGTCAAGTTTTATCAAGGCCACTAATGATAATCAGTTTTCCGATTCGCTGAATTCAATCCCCAAGGATGTATATTAATGGAATTTAATGTATAAATCGCCATTGTCCTTGCTTAGAAAATACCTTTGAAATATAGGTGAGACATTAAATGAACAGCCACTTAATGTTATATCTCAATTCATCATTTAGCATTATTGAATATTAAGGTGCTAAAAATGAGAGTTGCAAATTGTGAACATAAAATCGTAATCAGGTAGCCCATAAGCTGTCAATGTTTAGGGGCATTATAACAATGTATTGTGGTTAGCGTTTTAGCATCTACTCCGACTACATGAAAAGCCCCTTACCACTAACTTTATCATAACCCATTATGAGCTGAATGTGCCTTTTATTGGGCACATATGTTTTCAGATGTTCAAAAGTGGAAAACATTGTAATACCAGAACTAGAACAGGATTTAGAGTGTATCAAATCGTGAACATAAAAGTAAAATTAATTTGCTTGTCATGGTTAACCGATTATATGCAGACATAACCCTTTCAGGCAAAATCAAGAATCTTTTATTATTTTCAAGAAAATGTAGATGATAAAACAGCTAGTAATATACAATTCTCAAATATCAAATCAAAAGTAGGCACATTTTAATTGATTTATCATTAATCGCTCATCTTGATATATTTCTTGGTTGAAACAATATACTTATTTCGTGCCAAAGTGTCACATTCTAGACTATTTATTGGATGTATTGTAAATTGGTTGTCATGAAGATGACATCCTATTGCATGGCGTATAACATATGTTCAGTGGTATTTTTACATGTCACAAAGATAAGTTATGGTATAGATTGGAATAACATGGTATAATATGGTATAACAAATCTGTTGATGCCCTATTCTAGAACATGTTACAGATTATGTTCTATGGTGGTTCCACTTGTCTAGTAGTTACGGTATGTTCTGATTACAGTATGTTCTGAAACTGTCATTTTTGTGCTATGTTGAAATTTTCAGTTGTTGACTCTGTTGAATCTGTTTCAGTGGAGAGAATTAACTCTGATATTTGGCAGAATATTTCAAATGGTGATGGGAATATGAACTTTGTCTTTTTTACTTCTTGACACATTTTTGAAGATATCTATCCCTGTCCCTAAACCAACATTTTCAGATTTCTTTTAAGAATCCAGTACCAACAAGAAGTGAAATGTTAACATGTGGTATTATGCTAAATAAATGACTTACTCAGATAAATTTTAAAGCACTTGAAAAACTTTGAGAAATCTGTATAATGTTTGCACAAATTTTGCGTAATGAACTTATAAAAGTATTTGATTAGTGCTGTAGAAAAATTACGATTGGAAATAAAATTTTTGATATAAAAAAAATAAATAATTTTCACATTTCCTTTAAGAATCCAGTACCTACCAGAAATGAAGTGTAAACATGTGGTATTATGCTAAATGAATGACTCACTTGGATAAATCTTAAAGCTTCTTGGACTATCATTCAAGTCAATAATTTGGCCATTTCCCCTAAGAGAACTGTAAATATGTGTAAAAACTAAGCTTTGGATGAAATAATCTTTCTATACCCAACAGTCTAAATTAGGGATGGGTTCTGGGAAATGTGAAAAAGATTTGTTGATTTCAGGGACAGAAATTTTAAAGTTTAAATCACTGACATTTCTTTCCATCACTTACTCAATTCCCTCCACTATTCCAGAGGAAATATTAAGTTCTTGAAGCACTATTGCAGTGCATGTTACATTTGTTTCCATGGCGATTCTACATGTACATACAAGCTACATGATTAATGGCATTATTGCAATTATGATTTGTGGAATACATAGAGAGCTTATATAGAGTCTGTAGATACACAGATGCAGCATGATCCACATATGTTATTTGGTGTTTTACATGCTCCCTACATAACTTATGGCATGTATCAGAATTATGATTTGTAGGATCAATCATAGAGTTTGTTGATGCAGCGTATACAGTGTCTGATGTTATCACTTGATGCATTCTGTAACACCTTGCACAAAACTGATCGAAGTGAAAGTAGCAGAAATGGTAATAATTTTACGATGTTTCAACTTAACAATAAACCAAGCACTAGGATTGAACAAAATTAAAAAGGATGTGTCCGGGTATATGCCCTTTTGGTCCCTCAGTCAAATGTATGTAAAATATGGTTTTTATTACTGTCCTAGTTATATTTGATAAGTATATTTACTTTTTCATGAATTTTGATGCATAATTAGCCCCCTGCTAAGAGTCAGAATAAGTAGCCTAACAAAACAAAAAATAGTCATTATCATAGAAAAAAACACCAATGGCAACATGTATGACATACAAAGAAGAAATAACTTAAGACCCATGAAGAATTAAAAAGAAAATCATATTTTTGAAATATATTTAAGGATTAAAATTTTTTTCAAATTTTTGAATTTCCCGCCAGTTTAATTTGAAGGGGGGAAAACAAGATGGCTGCCATTTGATGTAAGAAATATCAGAAAAAAAGTTGCTTCACTTTTAGTTTTCACAATGAGCACAGTTTTCCGGTTTGGGTTTTTTGACTGATTCTGACTCTTCATCACCAGGGTCATGTATAGAGATTATAATATTGAAACCAAAATGTTGTGCTCAGCATGAATTTGACTGAAATATGTGTAACTTCACCAACACAACTGAAGTCTCAAAACTGGATGCTCAGTAACTTTGAGTGACTATAATCTCTTGATTACCCAGATAAACACCAATTCACTTATCCAGAAATACCATTCAATGTCTATACAAAGAAAATAAGAAATGTTTTGGAGGATATGTTTCAAACTTTTTGTATAAATAATTCATTTAATATTTGCCATTGATTTTTTTTCAATTCTGACAAAGTGATTTGCACTGTCTTTGATGCCAATATTCTTCATCAATTGTGATACAAATTGATATTTTAGTAATCTCAGAAGAAGGATAAGATATTGAAGTCTAATAATATGTGTGATTGAGTTGTTTTTCAGACATTACAATTTTCAATATTTTCTAAGTCGATACCCAGACTCATTCCCAGACTCATCCTTTGTGAATAAAATGAGAATTTTGTGATTCAAATGAAACGAAATGTAGTAGTTCCTGTTAGTTGTCTTGTCTTGTGTTGTCTGTCTTGTCCAATTGTCTTGGGGACCAGTTGACGTGTTACCAAAATGACTACTGTACTATTTTTGACCACCTTGAGCATATCCCTGATTACTAAATATTTATTCAATCTACCTTTCTGTTTGACACCATCTACTTTCTCCAAGAAGTCCAGATCTTGAGTCCCTTTCTCTTTTCTCTGTTTAACAATCACAAGAGCTTCTTCTATCTCTTGGAAGTCAACAGCTGATTCCTGGAACAATAAGACACACTCATCTAAAAATTGTTGAACTTTTTGAAGTAGGACATGGCAGTAAAAATAGCAGTATGAGTCAAATGGGGTTGATGTTTATTACATTATGTACATTTACTAATGCTAGGCTTGGAAGCAATTGTACAAATATTATTGTTAGTACCTCAGTTGAAATACTCGATTTTGATTGGTCAACGAGCGGTGGATAATTTTAACTGTACACCGCGCAATGCATTGCCGGTGAATAATATTCCCAGCATTCCACTAAAATGACGTCATTATCAGACGATAAAATGGCCGCCGCTAGCACTAGCCGTTTCAAAAATGTTGAAGATGAGGATATTATTAGTCTCTTAGAGAGTAAAGACAGTCAAAATACGAAGAAAAATCTAAAACTTTGTACAAAGCTTTTAGTGGACTTCGCCCAGGAGAGTAATTTGACTCCATTGAGTGAACTTACTACCGATATACTGAAATACAACACGTCTCGAGGGTCTGGATCCAACTACAAGTCAACTTCAAGGGTCAAAAAAATCTAAGATATTCTTCCGACTAACAAAACAATTATTGACCTCTCCAGAGGTTTACTGTCAAAATTATATCCCTCGACTGTAAACCTCGACCTACGGTCTCGGTTTACAGTCTCGGGATATAATTTTGACAGTAAACCTCTGGAGAGGTCAATAATTGTATATTGTACATTTATTATATTAGTGTACTGTATATCTGCCTATACCCAAAACAGAAAGGAGAAATATTGTTGCACTTGGATTGAATAAAATGAGAATTTTGTGATTCAAATAAATCAGTAGTTCCTGTGGGTTTTAAAACAGTTACAGCAGTTTATTTAAAATTCTGGGATAGAACTGTGGTTTAGCAAAACAGAAATAGAGTTAAACAGCTCACACATTCATTGTAATTTTCTCCTCAAGAACCTGAAGGACCTGTACTTACACGTGTGAAGAACTGCATCTTCTGAGACAGTTCATCATGCTCCTCCTTCAGTTGGAAATATTTCACTTGGACCTCCCTGAAGTCATTCTGTAGCTGTTCGTGGTCCTCTACAATGTAAAAACACATATTAGTATCCTTATGTAATCAACTTCACATATGAAATTGCTTTAGAACTAGTGACCATACACAAATGTCCATCCAATGCCCATATTATGTACAAACCATAGCTATGCCCCTGGTTACTTAACAAATAATGTTGTGCTTATCAAGGACAAAAACAATAACAAAAAGTATAATTCTGCTGGAATTATGATCACTAAAGTGATAGATAGCACTCTTGATATATTTCAGACATTAAACTTTAAGGTTGATTGAAGGGTGTTCATTAAGACAAGGACTGTAAAACATGTTCAGAGGAACACATAAGTGGAACAGGTTTCAGAGTCCCATGAATAATTGACTTAATGTTAAATGAACCTCTGTAAGTGGAACATATCCCAAATGGAACACCTTTTTGAGTTACCAAAGATGTTCCACTTGGTATTATATTGTATTAGTATATCATTCAAGTAGATCGTTTCACCTCTCTCAGTTGTGAGTCTGTCTAGAATGCCTCCCTTCTCTCCTACATCTGCTTTGAGAGTTGCCTCAAGTTGCGCCACTTGTACCTTCAGGGCATTTTCCCGCTGTCTCCACTCTCTTTCACGCTCGAGATCAAATGCACTGAAAAGAGAAGTAATTTGAAGTAATTGTTAGAGTTAGCCATACTGAATTCCTCAATACTTTCGAAATAATTTAACGCAGCTGAATCTGTTAGATCGGTTGGATTCATGGTGAAAAGAACTTGCTGGGCAGGGATGTGATTCAATGTGCCCAAAACGTAAGCTGAATTTAAGTTCAATCTAGACATATCTTTTGGAGATATACAACTTACTTCATCTTTCCTCTACAGAGCACAAGATTATCATATACAGTACTAACAGTACTGTACACTGGAGGAGTCAAAGTATTTTGTTCTGGAGAGGTCAAGAGGTCAACAGTTTTGTACACCTGAGAGTTCAATAGTATTTTAGGAGAGGTTAACAGTATTTCATACCGAGAGGTTAATAGTATTGTATACTGGAGAGGTCAACAATATTAATATAGTACACTACAGAGGTCAAAAATATTGTATACTGGAGAGGTCAAAAGTATTGTATACTGGAGGTCAAAAGTTTAGCCTACCTGCTGACTAGTTTTTCATTGGCCTCTGTAAGAATATCACGTTCTTTCTTCAAATCAACTAACTGCTCCTCAAGCTGAAAACAAACAATGTAAAAACATAATAAAGCTGTCTGAAAACATGAATCTAGAGCTGCCATCAAACTCAAGTAATGACATCAATTCTTTAACTCTAAAATTGACACAACATATTATTGCATGAGATACTTAAAAAAGTTTTCTCGCTATACTTGCAGAGTGTGATCTTGAAATTAGGGCCATTTACGAGGGGGAGGGGGTACGTACGGACATGGGGAGGTGAGTCAACTGAAATATTGAGCAACCCAAGAAAATAGACTGCTGTACATCTGTACCTCCAAGATCCTTAAAACAAGCATTACAACAGAGAAAGATATTGCTAGAACTTGTACCTCCAAGATGGTTCTCTGAGATGCTGAGCCCCCTTTCAGTTCATTCTGTAGAGTGAGATTCTTGTTCTGTGAGTCTTTCAGTTGTTGGGACAAACTCTCCATCTCTTCTAAGATCTGGTCATGACTCTCAGTCACATTCCGCAGTTTCTGAAAATCGGGTTGACTACATTTACAGATCATATACATAACAATTAATAATAAATTAATTGGTTTTATGTGTTTTTTATGGGAGTTAGTCAATTATAACATTTCAATTCTGAAGTTTGCATGTAAACAAAACTGGTTGCCAGGAGATACAGTTCAATGTAGGTCAGCGCGCATGCGCAGAAAATCATCAATTTCCTTCCATTTTTTATTGAGGCTGGAGGTAGCTCTTGATATCTGAGCGAATCTTGTAAGTATTTACCCGCCAACCCTCCCCCAAAAAGACCACCCATGAATTATCCCCCAACTAAGGTGAGATCAAGAAAATGGTAAAAGAGATATGGTTAGTAATAAATGAAGGTAAGCAACTAAAGTAATCACTATTATATTGCTCAAATGTATATCGTTAATGACTACTCCCTAAAAAAACCACATAGACCAAAAATACAAATAAATGTACTTCTTTTATTAAAGGCCTACAGACAAGAGTATTTTGTTGATTTCAGATTTCAGTTATATACACATTCTTTAGTTTCTGAAAATTGGGGTTGACTACATTTACAATCCAAACTTCTTTTATTAAAGGCTTACAAGAGTATTTTGTTGGTTTCAGATTTCAGTTATATACACATTCCTTAGTTTCTGAAAATTGGGGTTGACTACATTTACAGTTCATATGATACTTCTATTACCAAAGGCCTACAGACAAGAGTATTTTGCTGGTTTCAGATTTCATTCCTAAGTTTCTGAAAATTGGGGTTGACTACATTTATGGTTCATACTTTATTATCAAAAGCCCACAGACGAGAGAATTTGTTGCATTAAGCACATGGTTTTTTCAAGTTCTTTCAAGTTTCAGTTATATAGTTCATTGTGTCTAAACATATAATTTGGAGTTGAGTCCTAATTGGTGAATCAATCCATTGATTCGTTTAAGTTATTTTATCTTTCAACTACTATTATGTGTTTCATAGTTTCTGAAATATGTATGAGCCAGGGCACAGGAAAAAGGGTCTAATCACTGATTTTTTCAATATTTTGATTTTTTGTTTATCTTAAAAAGCACATAGAAACCTTTCAAATGAGCTATGGCTTATGTCTTAACAATTTTTCCTTGCAGATATAGACCAAAATGACAGATTTGAATTAAGCCCATTTTTGGCTCGTAGCACAATTTTAATTTTTGTGATCAGACTATACTGTGTTGAGGCTCATATGAATTTAGACTGTTTCAATTAATTGTACAAGTTGAGTATACTTTGGACTCAATTGTCTTTACTCACATGTTCTAATTGAGTATATTTATCCTGAAGAGCTGTTAACTTGGTTGATTTTTCTTTAATCTCCCTCTGTAGACGTATAATGTCAATATTTTCTTGTATATTCGTCCTCTGTCCAGCTGTCATTTGTTGTTTAATTTTTAATAAATCTTCTTCGAAGTCAGATTCTTTCATTCTCACCTTAAACATGAAACATGCAGTTTTTGGTTATAAAATGTGTCATTTTGTTATAATTTATGAAAAACATGTCATTTTTAGCATAATTTATAAAAAAACATCATTTTTAGCACAACTGGTGGAACACATAATTATATAGTAATATTGCCCATATAACATTCAAATTAAATTAGCTTTTTGAAACCTCTTAACAAAGTACTGGAGATCGTATAGAACAAAGTACTGAATGTTTAAAGAAAGGAAACATACAAGAAAAATTTTCAATTTTTTTAATCTGAAGTTTATGCATACCTCCTCTTTGAGCATCTCAATGTCTTGTTCGTAAACCCCTAACTGGTCATTGAGTTGATCTATCACATGTTCCCTAAGAATACACAAACATTTGACAATATGTCCTGGCTATGGTATTAATTACTATTAAATCAGAGGCCTTATTCACAAAGCATCGCAATTTTGCTATGGCGCTATCGCAATCGCAAAGGAATTTTTAGCGAATTTTCTTATTCACAATGACGTGCTAAATTTAGCGATTGCAATATCGCTATTTTACTATAGCAATCGCAATAAAATCGCTAATTTTTAGCGATGGGTTACTACCTGTCCGCAATTCAGTCGCAATATTCAACCATCTTTGATCGTTAATTTACACTCTAATGCGTTGGCTATTAGAAGTGAGATTACGCATATCGATATTTAGGCACAGCCTCAATACAGAGGACTGATATATTTATTTAAAAGCCTATTTTCCTTCATTCTATAATGCTGTAAAGATGGGTAAGTTTCAGTTATGAAAATATTTTTCAAATGGTTTTTTCGAGCAAAAATAGCGATTTAGCTATCGCAATGAGTCGTCTGAAACCACCAAAGCGAGGCAATCAAAATGGCGATGATCATAGTTGCGAGAGAGCGGAGACGTTTGAATGTTGAACGAGTTTTTCGATTATGTAGTAGCTAGTTGAAAGCTAGTTGGAAGTAGGAGAAAAAGAGGGAGGAAGAATAAATAATAATAATAAAGAATAATAATAATATCTACAAAATTAATAGGAGGCCCCTGCCGGGGGGCCTCCTAATAATGATAATCTAATTATGAATGATAATGCATTAAGACGAATGTACATTGCATTTTGGTTGCAGCATATTACTTTGCAACGTGTCACTTTGCAGCAATGACGTAATTGTTGACCTTGCGTTGCAAAGTGACACGCTGCAAATTCACGTACAAAGTCAAGGTGCATGACTACGTGCACAACTTGAGTGCAACTGCACATGCATTTAGCCTAAGTATTTCAAGATACGCGTATTTGACGTAGCCTAATAGCCCTAGCTAATTACAAGGTGCGAGTTACTGTGCTAATTAATAAAATTGTATTTATTTATAATTGCGATATGTTTGCTATGTGTTTGCGATAGCGATTGCTTTGCTATTGCTTTAGAGCGCTTTTGTGAATACCGCGCAAAACGTCATTGCTATTGCTATATCGCTATCGCATAGCAATCGCTAAAAATTGCGACGCTTTGTGAATAAGGCCTCAGATTAGCAAGTATGAAAATGAATTTCAATAAGCAAATCTTGTGCAAACTTAGTTATTTGAAAAAAATGTTCACCAAAGTTTCAATAAAATAATAAACTGTATGCATCATGATTTAAGCTTACATTTTAGAAAATCATTTCTCTCAAAAGTAAAATATTCTGTTTTGTTGACAGGACTAGCAATGAACTAAACTGGCAATTAGAAAATTTATTGTAAATTTTTAGATGATTCATTTTCATTAGGTGAAACAGTAATATTCAAAAATTTACTCTACATCTTCAGTCTAGAACTACTTTACGTACAGGTGCCTGTTCTCTTCCCTCGCCTCCTCTAGCAGACTATGTCCATATCTTGGCAAGCCGGGACTATTTACAGTGCGTTGTGTATCACGGGGCGGACCCATCACTCGTATATTTTTGGCAACTCGTGGATCTGGTGGAGGTTTTGGTATACCCTGGTGATTAGACAAGAGTGGGAAATACAGTAGGCATTTTCACGAATAAGTGACACTTTTCGGTATTTTTTTGTAACAGCATCCTTATTTATTCAATTTAAGGTATAAAAGAAAAACAATGCTTTCTAGAAGTTGGTACCATAATGGTCTTATATGCACATCATGAAAAAATACAATATGTTGTTGCTTATTTTAAAAATCAACAACTAATGACCCAAAATATGCTGTTTTTTGGTGTAACAAGCATTTCACTTAAATTGTGACCATGTTTACATGATCACAGAAGGGCTAATATCATAGATAGATCGACAATTCTAATACCAAGTGGTAGCTAAATCATTTATCTTTAATATGTTTTTTAAATTGTTTCAAACACTGTCATATAGCCCAAGTTGTAACCGTTTTTATATCATGACTACTCTGTAACACTTTTCCATTTTTTGGAGAGGTATTTTATGTTTTTTAGCGCAGAAAATCTGTGGCTGAGTATTTTCCTTCATATATAATGATTTTGAATAGCTAACATATTCATATATAACTTGTAAAAAGCTTTTCACTTGGAATTATTTAATTAACAAATAGCAAATAAAAGTTCTGAATCATTTTTTAGGAGTCACAAACCATGAGGTGTCCGTAATGGCAAAGTTTCTACAATCTACACAGTACTTATATCTTAACTATTCTTATTTTTTAATGAAATGAACACAACTTATCAATCAAATAATAATTTAACAATGATTGACCTTTTACTTTCTGATCCAGAAGCAGATATGGTGTCTGAAATGTAGTGAGGTGTCCGTAATGCTACATGATTTATCAATTCAAATTGTGAAATTAGCTTACTTTATCCCAAAAATTACTGTTGAATATTTCCCAAGTGTCTCTCTACATATGTTTATTAAATTTAAACTGGTATTGCCACTGATAATATTTGAAATTTTCTTTACCATAAGCTACTGGGGTCCATTTTACAAACATCAGTACTGATGAAAAATGAGGCAGAAATTAATTAAAATTGATTTTAAATTCCAAGTCTTTACTGGGCATATGGAGTCAAAACTAGATTTAGTTTTTTGAAATGAATGGAAACAAATAAAAAGAATAAATAGTTTTTAAAAAACATTACGGACACCTCAAGCCTATTGATTTTATTTTTAAAGCAAAAATAACTTATTTTCAAAGCAGTAAATAACCTGTATAAATAAAAAAATGGAGAAAACAAAGTATGCAGAGGAGGAAAAAGATATTAGGTTAAAAATACAAACCAGCAAAAGAAAATAAGAGGAAACATGTACTTGAAAGAAAATTTTTAAAATGTTGCACTTAAAAGGCAATATATCTAATAATAGTGATATAGAGAATCCAGTCCAAAGATTTCAGCGCATTGTTAACACATTCTGAAATGACTCATGAAGTACCAAAAAAGCATTGCATCAAAAACATGATATCTGAATTCATATAAACACAATGTAGAGTGGGGATGATGAGTTTTAATCTTCTGTGACAACTAGACCAAAGAACAGCAAGTACCCAAAAACAAAGCAGCAAGAGTGCTTCAAGTTCATTTTGGATGAAAAGTATAATTCATTTTCAATTTTATATATTTATTTTAAATTGTTTGTGTCATTTGATATCCTACACCTTAAAGTTTGTCGTGTAGTCAATTTTTACCTTGCCTTGTTCTTTCCTTTAAAAGCTTGTGTTCATTGATTTGAATTGCCTGGTTTGGCGGGTATGTGTCTTGGAGCAAGACTAATTTGTCGGACAAAACTAAAATAGTATTAGTAATATGGTTCAAATAGAACGATATTACCATATAACATTCTTGTCAAAACATGCCAAATTGCAACACAAACAAGGGTATAGTAATCAGTGGTGAGCAGAGATATCCATAATGTTTGAGATAAAATTACTATAATTAATTAAATAATTAAATAGGACATCCAAGTGATTTCACTTCTTAAATTGTTCAGCCCAGGTACAGATTGTTTTCCTCTTGTTATCTTGCTCAATGTAAAGTATATGCTGTTAAATCATACATTTCTTTGTAAAATTCAATGTATGTCTACATGTTTGTTGTATACCTAGGCAAAGGGGCTAAATAAAGTTCATTCACCATAGTAATTCAATTATTTTGATAAACAATTGTTACGAAAAGGTTTTGTATATATATATCTTCAAACAAAACTTACTTTTGCGACCTAAAACTGAAAAGAATTTAAAACGAGCAAATTTGAGGTGTCCGTAATGCTACCTCTTTCATCATTTAAACATAAATTGACAGATTTTGAAACAAACACAGATAATTCAGTGGATAGCAATTGAAAGACCGTGGAAAGGGTCCACAAAATTGGATACTTTTGTTGGGGCTGCAATGTGAATTTATCTAATAATGTGACTTTATTTTGTAAAATCTAATTCATTGGGTGAGGAGGTAGATATGTTCAAAACAAATATTACTTTTTCTTCATATTTTGTAACCAGTTGTTGTACAAAATGTGTTATCAATGATATAAGACTTAAAAAAATATGTCAGAAACAAAAATATTCCTGTTTTGAATGTTGGTTTATGAGCATATTGAGAGTGAATTGTCCGTAATGCCAATTTCAGTACCTATAAAGATGACAGTATTTTGTAAATTTGCAGATGCGGATACTTAGGAATTTTTACATCATCAAAAGCCTGACATATGAAAGTGTAAAAATCTTCATAAACAATAAGGAAAACTTGAAAAAATTTTTTTGACATTTTGAAATGGAAAAGTGTCACTTATTCGTGAAAATGCCTAGTGTATTATCCTACACTTAGTGTACTAAATGTATAATAACATGAAAAAATAAGTTTGATATTTATTGGCAAAATGAATATCCGGAGGATATCGTTACGATATACTCCGGGCGGAGGATATCGTGACGATATCCTCCGGAAAACCCAATATACGGAGGATATTGTGACGATATACTCCGCTAGTTGATTTCCCGCCAAACTGACTCTATTTGGCATGAAATTCATTTTACAATGATATTATACATTCAGTACACTCCTTGTAAGTGTAGGATAATAAGAACATCCTATGATTTTTTTCAGAATATCATTTTAATCTACTCGGTGATATTGATATATGCACTCGTTCGCTTCGCTCTCTCGTGCAGATATCAATATCACCTCGTAGATAAAAATGATATTCCTCAAAATCATAGGATATCCTATAAATATCCTTTGTCATTTTAAGTCATGTGATGCATGTTCACCCAATCACAGAATGACAAAAATTATAGCGACATAATAAATAATTTTTCATAGCGCCAGGTCAAAGTATGAAGTAAATCACAAAAGTAACACACAAGTTTAGCCAGGAATGAGGCAGGACACGCAACTGCCTCACAAATGTCAAATGCCTAAATTTTCTTTTTTTACTTTTGCCACACCCATGCAACATATATTTTTCTACACTATTCATATCTAATTTAGCATGAATTCTCTAGTTAGGTTGACCACACAGGAGAGGGGAAATCTGAGCCAAATGCTATTTAAATCTAGTTAAAACTAGATATCCAATCAACCAACCTTTCCTGATGACATATACAGGGTGTCAAAAAACAACGACACCCCCTCTACAGCAAAAAGTACTTAATGTTACATGGTGTGTCATATTTCATTTTAAAGACAATTCAATTCTGGAGTTGCCTGAGAAATTTCAGTTTTATATCATATAATTTTACAGATTCATTGCTGATTCTTAGCAGTTCGTATGACCCCCAGTTGCTGCTCGAACAGCAGCTTATCTGGATGGATATGATTTCAATAAAAATTCAGATAAAGGTATAGGTTTGCATAATCCTTTAAGCCCTTTCCACACATTCTTCAGAATTACATCCTTACTGTATCTGTATATGTCTCAAGACGCTCTTTGTCCATCAATTCCTAAACCCTCTTTTTCAGAACTGAGCCCATATGTTCAGTGCATTTGAAATCTGGGCCAATTCTTTCATATTCCACTTTCTGAAGATTTGACCCCTAACCAGTAACAGCACACCAAACAATACTGAAGTACCAAACTTTGAAACCATGTAGCTTTTTGAATATAACGTTTTATTAAATTAAATTTCATGAGTAACTCCAGAATTAAATTATCTTTCAAATAAGGTATGGCAGGATATGTAACATTAAGGACTTTATGCTGTTGAGGGGGGTGCCATTGTTTTTTGACACCCTGTACAGTAATAAACATGTACAGTACATGTATACAGAATATAATTCATGGTGAAAGCTTACTTACAGTGTTAATCCTAGAAGGCACATGTCCATATGGAGTATGTCTTTTTCCCTGTGTTTGCAGTTGAGCCTTTGTCACCATTAACTGTAAAACATTCAATATTTTATAGTTTCTTGTGTCCACCATACTACATACATGAAGGGGATGGGGGGGTTGTTCTTAATCTTGAATGATTTGCCCTAATTTCTTTGAATGTGATTCAAATGATAGCTAAAATGGAACATATCACAAGTGAAGTGTTACATTCTGTAAATTCTGTAAGACTTAACAGACGTGCTATAACAACAATGGTACAGAAAGGTGTAGCACTGGTACTAATTTTGGGACAAACCGTACATATAAATGCTGCAATAATTGGGGAAAAGTAAAACATTCACATTTTTTGAGTTAACTAATAGTTGAAATGTTCTATACCTATAGCATTTATACATAATTAAGCTTAAAAATAATTGATCAAAATCTGTGGATCTATCATTTGATTATCAAGTATTCACATAGTTGAATTTGTATATTGCATTGTGATCCCTACCTTTTCTTTAAACATAGAGTTTTGTTTTTCTAAATCCCTGACTTTGCTTTGAAGTTCTTCAACCATTTCTTCAGTCTCAATGTCTCTTCCTTTGCGCCCTGGAAAATTGTGTGTTGCTGAATTATATACAATGTATGTTCTCGATACAATGTCACTTGTAAATCAAATGGGAAATTAGAAATGGGAAAAAGACAAATTTTCTGAAAACTGTGGCAGACCTTTGGTTATATCACTTGTCTGCATTTATAGCATAATTTTGATATAATCAAGGCATTTCTGTAAATTTGATGACAATTTAGGGAATGGTATTTAACTTAAGGCTTTAACTTAAAATGAATTTGCATTTATTGCCTGAAAAATGTTGTAAGTCAACTTCTATACACTTGTACTGCATTTCCAAGAAATGGTAATACATGGTTCAACTATTTCTAAAACACAATCTAAATTCAAAACTTACCTCCTTGGTCCCCTTCTCTCTTCTTTTTATCACTGACCAATCGCAATAGTTTTGTGGCCATCCTGCATCAAAATATTATAATAAATACATTGAAAAATAAGTCTTAGTAAGTCTTTTAAGAAAATCAGTCTGGCATTTTGGAAAACATGTCAGTTTGGGGTACCAACCCAATGCTTTTCAGAGGGTTGGCTAAATAATTTTATTATCCTGGGGGCTTTAATGTACTCTTGATTTTCATACACTGACATTGTGCTTACCTTTTAATTTTGTCTTCTTGTTTTCTGGCATGTTTCTTGATGATAATATTCTCCTCATAAAGTCTCAAGTATTTGTCTTCTAGATCTTCTCGCGTCCAGCGTGCGATCATACGAGCCTCCTGTGCTGCCCTCTGCTGAGCATGATCTGAAATGCATGTTTGGAGTATATATCCAATAAGTTGAAGGCATTTTAGAGCGAAGATATTAAATTTATTAAAATTTCAATTTTTAACCTCTCAGAAAGGGTTTTAATCCTGAGCAGTTTTAATTTCTGACATTTTACAATCTAAATAAAGGCCTGTTGTAAGAATTGTTTGATTGATTAAAAGTACAATTAAAATGCTGCCTCAATATAAAAGTTTTCAGTTAATTGGCTACTTGTTCTACTCTTATGTGAATTGATCAAGAGAGATTCTTGGACAATAATTCATAATTCACATACCTCGGTCATCAACATTTTGAGCTCCAGATATGCGTGGCATCTTAGGCTCTCGTACAGGATACTTGTCTGTATCATCCATTCTTCTCAATACTGACAGCTGACTTTTACATCTTCGGGACTGATTTCAGATTTTTGCTACATTTTAACAAGTTATACCTACAATTAGAAGCCATTAATAATATCACTTAAACATCAATTTGCAGCATCGAGTAGATGCTCAAAGTAAGTGACACCTGAACAGAGTGATCTCCCAAGCAGTAAAGCAAGTTGGCGCATGCATCCACTTGAAATTTCCATACGAGGCTTACACCAACCAGAGAACCCGTTTGAAAATGAAAAAAAATCATGAAAAATAGAAATATTTTGACTAAATGTGTCCGAAATTGTAAAACAAGAATTTTGCACCCACTATTGATCTGAGATAAGGAACTTAAAGGAAGATTCCAAATTGGTGTTTATTTTGTGATGAGAAGAAAGAAGTTGTTTGGGGACTTCAATTGTAACAGCACCATCTTTGAATAGAATCTAATTTGAAGGCATGGAGTGTACAGAATAACTGAAAGACACTTAATCATTACAGAGAATGGTAAAATATTTGGGATTATTTTCTGTGGATGGATGTGCTTGGACCAAGCAGCTTCAGAGTGGTGAATTGGTCATTGTACTAAAAACAATCAGAGCTACCCCATAAATGTGGGGTTGATTTTTCAAATCACACTGACAACTTCTTGTGTATTGAAATCTTGGGGTTAAAAACATTGTCGGTAGTTGACACAAAACTCATTTTATCTAAATAACCATGAATCCAACTTAATTTCAATCCCAAGATTCCAATAGACAAGTAAAGTGCTCACCATAAATAAATGACACCTGGATTTTCTATCACCATTTCAAGATCATGGTGATTAGAGACTTCATAATGTCTAGATACTCATTTGTATATTTCACATTTTTTATACTCTCATCCGTTGATGTATAGCCTCTTGAAAATCCTCTCCTTTTTAACATGGGAAATCCTCACTTCAGCAAATGCAGGTGTCATTTATTTATGGTGAGCACTGTAGTTGGGGTGATTTGAAAAATCCTAGTAGAATCTGTGCTCTCCAAATTCATTTTTCAGAAAGGTCCACAGAGAAATTCCATGATATAAATTATACATCTCCTTTAGCATGTGAATTTTACATTTTTGAAATGTGTCAGGGAGGTATGTAAGTCTCAACTAAAACAAATCAGTGCAGTAAATTAAATATAAATAAATAAGTGGGCGATAATATGTTTTATTTCTAAACCTTACACTTTTCCTTCGATTATTGCAATTATTGAGAGAAAAATTATACATTTGAGCTTACCTGTGCACCGCTCATTCATAATACAATGAGAAGGTACGTCATTGACACCCAAGATGAAGTACAGCACGCATAATTTGTATATAACCTGTCACAAAATTCAAATCAGAAATATTTCCAAAACAATAATTGCGCATGCGCATTGTCAAATTTCCCATGGTGCAATGTTTCCCGCATTTATTTGAACAGCACGCGACTTAGAAGGCATGATTAAAGGCCCAGCTCACCAATATATAAGTAGATTAAGTTGTCTACTGGGGTTACTGTCCTTTCTTTTGTCTCAACCTACACTCAGCTATGGGCATAATCTTATAATGAAGCGTATTTGAACACAGGTGCTACCTGGTTGGGTTTACAGAGTGGGCCGCCCTGCAACACATTTGTTGCAGCCAAGGTGGCCACATCCTACTCTTATTACCCAGGGAGCACCTGTATCTTTGAAAAAGGTTTCACCTCTGTTATTCCATCCTGTGACTAACATGAAACTGAGACAAACATCCTTTTATGATAAATTAGTCCGTCTTATTTGACCAAAAAAGGAGTTGGGGTTATTGTCCAGTTCCTTCCTGGCAGGGGTTAAAGACTTCTCAGTATGGAAACCACACTAGCAACATTCATTGATTTTAATCCAAGCTGAGATCCAAGGTATATGGTGGTCCAATAAAAACAGAACCCACCAAAAATGAATTTCTTCAATTAATGTAATCAGCTTCATTTTTCATATACAGAAACTACAATCTATGTCAACCAAAGGGTTGCACATCGTTTGTTGAAACCCATCACATTCTTTTGGCTTCCTGTTGAGCTGCATTTTGTGAATATAGAGGCTGAGAACATTAATGAGGAAGTGTCCCAGCAACCTTGAAGCCATTTTTAGGTATAGCTGCACCTTCTGAGTAATATTTTGGAACCGCGTTCAATGCAATCACACACAGTGCTTTCAATTATTCTCATACCCCCGTTTTAAGAAATCTCAATGAATATGTGAGCTGATCTTTTTTCCATTCAGGTGTTAAACAGTTTTCCTTTCTTCCTCTTCCAACTCATTTGTATATATTTGACTTTGTTATCACATGTCATGCAATGCTTTTGACTGATTATTCTTTCCAGTGAGAGAATTCATCCAATGGAATTTCGTAGGCTACAATGTTTGAGGTGCTCTTGCTCAGAGGCAAAGGATTTTATTCATCTGATTTTTTACTTGGTGTTTACCATAGCATATTCTTCATTTTTCAATTATAATATTTAAATGCGACTTTGTTTTTACGTCTTCTTTGGAATTTCCTTCTGAACATAAAATCTTAACATATGATTGTCTCAATGTTAATTTTCCGAAAATTGGACACATTCTAAGATCATCCTATCACAAATGATCAATTTTATGTTACAAACTAGTACTTGATTTCATATTTTCATCCATAAATTCCAGTTTATGCACATAAAAATTGGGTTGAAATACCCTGCGCGCAGAGTCTAGTTAAACTACAGACGAAGCTCTCTTTTAAGAAGTGAAGTCAAACGAATGCAAAGGGTAGGGTTGAAAGCATAAGTTCTTAAGAAATTATTGAACTTTTAGAGGGTTCTGTTTTTTGGGTCACCCTATAACTGATCCTTATTTCCCCAAACGTACTTGCAATTTGTCTCTCTTCTGCAGACTATTCCACTTTTGTCAGCATTTATTTCATATGAATTTGTAGAATTCGAATTAATGAGGATATGCGTCCCCATAACCTAAAGGCCTATATGTCATAGTAGCGAATGGTATGGGACACGGAGACATCTTTCGTAGAGGTAGCTGTCGTGAATAACTTATCTCCACTACTAGTTATCTTAAACAGAGGAGGGGGTAAAAATATAACTCCGGGAGGGACAAAAGCTGATCAAAAAAATTCCCGCGTTCTGCTATCTAGCCACCTAATATGATGATTACTTAATCCTTCAACCAAACGAGAATTCCAAACGTCCTGGATTAAAGTCAAAATTAATCAACAGATCCTATTGTCGAAAGATAAATTGAATTCACAAAGAAAGATAATGCAAATCATCTTTCGGAATGACAATGCAAATGAAGGAGCTTCGTGCTTCGGCAAGTTGCTTCCGTCTTAGTTTTGCTTATATAGGATTTTCTGGATATTCACTAATGAGCGCTGGTCTGGAAACAGCCAAAACCAAACAGTAGATGAAATGCACAATCATTCTGATGGGTATGTGTTTTGAAGCAAGCAGCTTTCTTGTGCTCTACCAGAGACATAAACAAATATTATGTGATTGGTATTTTTAAACTTCTCTTTTGTGTAAAGACAAGCGGGTGATCATGATGTGACATTCCAGTGACATACCTGAGCACATGAGATAATGGTTGTTCCAAAGCACATCGCAGAATAGTTGGAGCCAAGCACATCGCAGCACAATTGTACTCAATCACATGACAGCATAGTTGCACCTGTCCACATCACATCACAGCATACAGTAGTTGTATCAAAGCACATCAAAGTAAAGTTATCCCAAACACATCACGCCACTGTTGTACCCCGGCACATCACAACATAGTTGTACCCAAGCACATTAAAGTAAAGTTATCCCAAACACATCACAGCACTGTTGTAGCCCTGCACATCACACCATAGTTGTACCCATGCACGTCAAAATAAAGTTATCCCAAATTACATCATAGCACTGTTGTACCCCGGCACATCACAGCGTAGTTGTACCCACGCACATCAAAGTAAATTTATCCCCAACACATCACAGCACTGTTAATGTTGTACCCCGACACATCACAGCATAGTTGTACCCAAGCACATCAAAGTAAAGTTATCCCCAACACATCACAGCACTGTTGAACCCCGACACATCACAGCATAGTTGTACCCAAGCACATCAAAGCAAGGTTATCCCAAACACATCACAGCACTGTTGTACTCCGGCACATCACAGCATAGTTGTACCCACGCACATCAAAGTAAAGTTATCCCCAACACATCACAGCACTGTTAATGTTGTACCCCGGCACATCACATCATATTTGTACCCAAGCACATCAAAGTAAAGTTATCCCAAACACATCACAGCACTGTTGTACCCCGGCACATCACAGCATAGTTGTGCCCAAGTACATCAAAGTAAAGTATCCCCAACACATCACGGCACACATCACGGCACTGTTGTACCCTGGCACATCACAGCATAGTTGTGCCCAAGCACATCAAAGTAAAGTATCCCCAACACATCACAGCACTGTTGTACCCCGACACATCACAGCATAGTTGTACCCAAGCACACAACAACATAAATGCACCCAAACACATCACAGCATAGTTATACCCACATCACATCGTAATTGCACCCAAGCACATGCACCTAAGCACACCAAAGTATATATGCAGTTGCACAAAAGTATAGTTGTTCCCGAGTTATTCCCAGCATACTTGGTTCCATTCACATGACAGCAGGATGGCTGAAGTTCCATCCCAGTGCTATAACATCACTAATCTACCTTGATACAATGTGATATCCCTTGTATTACAACATGAGACATTTCAGATAAAATTCTAACAGTTTGCAGTGGCGCTCAAGTCCCTTTAATCGCCATGTTCGACAACTATAATACACCCCTCTCATCCATCACCTAAACTGAGCCATTTGTAGCGCTATGTGACAGAGCTTTCCAAGTTAGATTAGGAACTGTGTGTTTAGGATGTGCACCTTGAGGATGTTACAAATTCAATTTTACATTTTTACTCAATACAATTTTAACAAATATTTGAAATTTAGAAATTTAAAGTTGAAAATTAGTTTGATTGTATTGTTTGTTTGTTGTTTCGTGGATTTTCTCTGGATTTCTTTGTTATATCTCTAAACTGAATTGGTTTCCCTGTTATGTAGGCAATGAGAGTGAATTTTACAAAGGGAGGACTCCCAAGTTAGATTAAGGTTTGTATGTTTAAGGGTATTTAGCATGGATTTCCTTGATGCTGCATATCTTGACAAGTTGCCTTAAGAATCATTTCACTCAATTTCATCTTTAATTTGCAGCCGTAATGTGTTGATGGAGGGGATTATGGTCTTACTACGATTTTCTCTAATTCATTTGCTGATTTCGTATTCGACAACAGAAACACTGATGCTCTTGTGTAAATAAATGCAGATGCCAATGTATTAATGAATTTTAATTTTCTTTTTCAAATATTCTTGGATTGTAATTATCTTCTAATTATATTTGTCATGTTAAGATGCTGAAGTAGGATGGGAGGGGGAGTATGGACAAATACAGAGGTGGGAGGTTTGCCGAAGTGGGAGGGGGGCAATACTAGAAAACTGTTAAACATGAAAGACATACAGCAAATACTTTACCCATCACACTATATAACAAGTTTCAAACTGGAAACAGAAGAAAGATAAAAGCAGTGTGATATGTCTAAACTGAAACAAACACAAGTTAAACATATGTTTTTCACTTCATATGAGATCCACACACAATGTGTGGTCCTAATTTTGTCAATAAGTTTTCAATTTGCTTCTAAAATTCAGAAACAACTGTTTGCCGTTGTTAATAACAACAGGATGTTACTGTTGTCATGGCGATGAAATGTATTACTTTGAAATAGACAAGTGATGAAATGGACAACTATATAATAAAGCTGTTCATTCATTCAGGGTTTGGTAGTTAAATGATAACAAATGATACATTTCAATTGCATCTTTTCCAGCCATACAAAATGTGCAGAGAATTCTATCTGGGATATGTATATCCATTATTCGTCCAAAATTATGCACATGCTCAAGTTGTATACAGGGTAGGCCTATATATTTAAGCCTCTACATAGGTTGAATATATTTCAGCCTAAAATAGGCGATTTACACATATGCAGTAAATCATTTGCAAAAGGAACACCTTTGGTTCTTCAAAACACAAAGTGTTCGGATTCAAGTGTTCATATTACAGAGGCTCATTTTCACTAAAAAAGTGTTCTACCCCTGATGTGTTCGGTGTTGGACTTAATTGTCTTTACTGTATGTAAAGAGGACTTAAAAAGTGTTCTACCACTGATGTGTTCAACATACAGAGGTGTTCGACTTGATTGTCTTTACTGTATGTAAA